AATGCCTTCCTAAAAATTTGATTGCGCCCCCCCCCCCCCCGCCCCAAAAAATTGCCCCAAAAAAAACGTCCGACCCATTACTCATATCATCACTGCACACTATAACTAAACATCTCACGCGGCGAAATCATCGAACGCACGACTTTGGGTCTAGCGTGAGGTTGTTATCCACCTTTATTGAGTAGCAAAAAAAAAAGCAAAATGAAATGAAATGAATGGAATTTTCCTTCATACTTTTCTGCAGCAAAAAATCATTGTGCGCACAACAGAGACAGACCTAGCGCACATAATAATTTCGTCGGTATTAAAACAATGGTAATTGTTTCGTATTTAGGGGTAGGCCTTAAAGGCCAATACGAATTAATTTATAAGGACACTTAAAGTTAATACCAATAAAATAAACGTAAGATCAAACCAAAACGATTTTGGTGCCTATATTATGGGGCCAAAAACATTTGTTTCCGAAGCAATTATAGCAATAGCGGTATGAATATTCAAGTATTTTTCCTTCTTGATTGTCAAGATTGTTCAAAAACCAAAATATCAACTGCCAAATGGATTTTGACTTGTCAAGTCAAAATCCATTTGGAAGTTGATATTTTGGTTTTTGAACAATCTAGACAATCAAGACTAGACAATTTACTCTACACTTTGAATTTGACATTTCTCGAGTGAAATTATGTAGGCACGTACCTGATTTATATACTACACACGCAAGAGTATGGTGGACCTCAAATCAATAGGTTGAAGGTTTAAGCGCTAACATTTCGAAAAGCCTGACGATGGGGTCTCGTGCCACACTCGGAACTGTCAACAGTTCCAGTGAATATTTTACTTTCACTTGCCTGGTCTTAGGTGTTTCACGAATTTAATTCAACAATTATCAGTTTTGAAGAATAAAGCAGTTCGGAGTGACACACGCGTTTGCCATTCTGGTAATTTTGTTTGGTAAGTTACTTTCATACTTCTTTCATACCGGGGTATGAATGAAGGAATTTTAAATTTAATAATGTTTAATTCTTTCGATCTGTGTTTTGCAAGCTAAATGAGCTTTACAGAATGTAATGTGTATAATACTACACAGTTTACATACATGGGTGATTTGAATTTTATTCTGCTTATTAACAATATTGGTATTAAAGTAAGTTTATTAATTGTTTTGGTTTTATTATTTGAAAAAGTGATAGTAACAGTCCGATGCTCCATCTTAGTTGAATATTCCACCCCTCCCTGCAATCCACCACACCCATTCCCCCATTGCTCCTCCGAATATATCACTTGCCACCCCCCCCCCCTCCCCCCCCCCACCTTCAATTACACGCCTGACTTAAAAAAACTCAATTTGCTGCAGCGTCTCACCATTTTAGTCACTAACCTTGTTTTATTTTGTTTTTTTTTATTTTGATTTGACCAATGTACTTGTTGCTATGCTTTATTGATGCAAAATTAGTGCCAAAACTGTAGAGTTTTTGTATACGAGCTAAAAATTGAAATTTTCAAGAACAACGACAATAACTCATACTTTTTATTTTTCGAATTTTCCGAATTTCAATAGCAATAGTGATAACAAACACTCGCACCAAGTTTCATCTATATCCGCCAAGAACTGCGCCCCCTAGAGTGTTTACGAGCAATTGTGGGCGAAAGGACGGACGGACATGGGTGACGGCAATATTCGCCCGCCCCCCATTTCATGTGGGCGTATTAAAATGTATATTGTTATGGTACTGAAATATATACTGTTGTAAAAATGAGTTATATCCCCTTAAATGCTATTTCCATTACGGTTTTTTTCTCTATTGGTTTAGGCGTAATTTGAAAAAAATTGTCGTAAAATAACGCGTGTTAATGAAAATTAATTATAAATCTAAAACATAATTGAGGGTATCCAGAACAGAATACGCCTGCTCTTAGATATATTCCTGAAAAAAAAGCCCAAAACTAATTGCCATAAGCAATAACCGCCCCGCAGAGGAAGTAAGCAATCCATTTTAAACAATCCGAAACCAAGAATAGTGCATATTTATTTGTTTAGTTTAGTTACGGCTATCTTTTAAATAATCCACCATTTCCGATTATTCCTGCAAAGTGAATAACTTCAGGCCATTCTATACAATCCTACTATCTCACCAAACTTAGTGACGACGACAGTGACTATTTCTAAGCCAATATGAGTATTTGCTTGCATAGTTACGCCATATTGTCGAATTAATGTTAATAAGACCAATAAAACTTCAGACTGCGGCTTTACCAAACTGTAGAGGAACTAAATGTCGGATCTTCATTCTTAAACTTTTCACGTTCTGACCATAGAACTCTCTTACAATTATAGGCTGACCAGATAAAGTAATCTGGAATAATAAATCTAAATTAACCAAAAGGTCTAGTAAAACAATTTATTCACAATATAAGGTATGATATATCGAATCCCAATTTTTGCATATAGCTGGTCCGAGTTTTCCGACTCTTACCAGCCTCTGACAGATAAGTCGGCAGCACCAGGGTATACAATTCAACAAGGTTTGGACCGTCTTATAACATACCAAGATAACCATTAGCATGCTAAATATTGAGAAGGGTTATAAGGACTACTTTTTTTTTAACATGATTAAATAGTATTCCAGAATGTACATATTTACCCCCACAAAGTAGAAACATCGGCATTATCTTATCTTACTTGAACAACGAATTAAATGTAACCTTTGCAAAATTATGAATGGAAAACGTTCTCATTTTACTCTGGAATTCATTACCTCAAGTACTTTAACAATCTAACAATATAGAGATTGAAAAGGAAATTAGAATCATTATATTATGTAATAATGTTATCTATGAAGTTAAGGCATTCGATTGACTTAAACATGTTTAACATTAATGTGCATAAATGCAAAAAAAAATATTATGATGTATATCCCCCAATAATAAGTATCAAAAGACAGATACTAGTAATGGCCACCACTAAAATAAGATAAAATCGATAGAAAAAACAATCATAAATTTTGGCAAGGTCGACCCAAGTATACTTATCAAATGGGTGATCGCATTTCCACGCCATTTCTGTTGGGGGACGGGAGTCTTTAAATGGTGAATTTCCTCTGAAGGAAACTTCGTCAACATTCATGGGATGAATTCGTTCTTTTGACACACCCTTCTGAATACGATTCTGGTGTTCATGTTCGTAGTTTATGTTATATCCAGTAACTTTTAACATTAATCCAAGTATCAGTTTTTGTATCCACGGTGGAATGGGTTTGGTAGCCGGTTGGTGGAACAGATACAGACTGACAACACCCAATAAAACAGACAGAGCACCAACCATCAGTATCAAACTCAAATAAATACCTGTAAAAGAAGACTTACAACTGAAGATGTTGCACTAGAAATTGTTTGTGATATTTGTACATGGTAATTTAAAAAAAAGGTAAGCGAATGAAAAAGGAGAAGTGTTAAAGGTTGTAAGGTTGGAAGGTTGTTTTTATGTGTATCGGGGACACTGATATCATCAATTTGCACCATTCCAATTTTCAGTCAGTCTGTGACTCTCGCTAAAAGCAACCGTTTTGTGACATCACTACCTGCTATTGATAATATATTACGAATTCAAGTAGTTAAAACGTATAGTTTAAGAGGAATTGCAGGAACCAAAGACGTCTGATTTAAAATTCTAATGATGCGAATCAATCGATCCCCTACTCACATTTCTTCAGAATTAAATGTTCCTTGTGGTGAATCTCATCTTGGGAAAGCGCCAGACAACACTCACAAGGATATCGAGATTATTACAGTACTGTCGTGGTATTGTCAGATTGTATATGTAAGCATGGTGGATTGAAAATGGTCACAGATCAGTATAAATACATATCAAGGTATAATACGTCATCAGATAGGGCGATGGGGTATATGAAAAAGAAACTTACTCAGAATGGATACATGATGTGATGTTGAAGGCATGTTATCAGATATTAGAGTTAACAAAACAGCATAGGCCAGGAGAAGGGTAAGAGCATATGAAATCTTTTCACCAGAGTCGTGAGGCAGCAGAAATATCAATAGACTGAGGAACGACGTGACCATAATTGGAAGTATCACATTCAAAACATAAAACGTGGCTCGACGTCGTAGTTTGAGGATAAATTCCAATTGAGAAAAAATTTCGTCGCCGTCAATTAACTGGTTGGTGTCCAATCGAGTGCTCACTAAATCCCATTCTCCGTTCACCTTATAATCCTCCAAGTTGATCTCTTCAGCCATGTGTTTGAGTTCCACTTCATCAATAGTATAGGCCCAGCTGACGAGCTCCACGTAACACTCCTGGACATCAAAAGGGTAGTAGGTGGTGAGAATTTCACAATGGGTAGAATAGATGGCAGGAGGCTCCCATATTATTTCTCCAGTGTATTTGGTTCGTAGCAGTATATTGTCATCAGCTATCATACTCATGGTTCCAACCCTAAAACACATAGAAACTAATAGTTCATATTCGTGTGTAACAGTTTTGTCATCATTGCACATGGCCCGAGCTTTCCGAATAGTTTTCAATAGTGTTACAGTTTTTCAAGCAAGCCCTCCAGATCAAGCCAAGGGTTCAGCAGAGAGAAACAGACAAATATCAAGAGTAAGAGTTAAATTGCTGATATGCGAAGAAAACTGCGCGTGTTGTTACAAACATAGGTATATTGTACTTGAGTTTAAGACATAAAACCACACCGTAGAAAGCAACGCAATTGGATTGTCGACAAAAAAAACAAAATGTTTGATTTGAGCTTTGGTCGGTTCATGTCAGTTCATAATTCGTAGAATGGATACCCACAAAATTCGAAATATACAAAAGTCTATGCTTTGTCAAAAATGCTATCAGTTTTAATCTGTTTACCGTCACATTGTAAAGAACAATAACCAGAAAGCGAGCCTTTTTGTTAAAGAGCTTAAGAGCGATTTGTTCATATTGATAAAATGATAAATTTCATTTGATAATTTTATTAATCTTTTATTAGTGTTTTAAATCAATAGAATAACATATATTATTTACAATTATGAAAGAGATAAGATTGGACCAAATAACAGCAGTGGATTTCGTCAAGATTTTATTTAAGTTTTCACAAAGAAAGAAGCTTCCAAGCAAACACAAAGCGGAATACAACGTTTGCATAACTTTTTAACCGACATTCGAAATATCAAAGCTACAACGAAATGCTTTTCTTAAAGTGCATGTAGTCTAAATTGTTATTATCACTTAACCAACTAATAAAAGTCATTCACAAAATGCTCTTAATAAGGCTCGAGAATAAGAATGTAGTAAGTGGTGTCCGTAAGATTGATAGTGATCTATAGAACTTTGAAGTAAAAAATTCTATCTTTCATAATACTTACTTATTGCTACCAACCCTGAAAGAGGTAAAACTTTCTCAGACATAATAAAGATTATCTAGTCGTGATTGTATGCCTATTCCTGCCGACACGCCTAGAAGTTGGAAGTCAGTCAATTGTTGTTGTTTTTTTTTAGTTATGACCTTGAGAGTTTTTTTTACCTTGCATTTCCTCAAAAAATTAAACTGCTATACTTTTTTGTATCTAAAACCACTGGGGTGGTCTTGGCCCACTATCTATTTCATAAAGCCTTTGTGCATTTATATGATGTTTTTTATGAATACTGTTAGGTTTCGATAGAAAGGTAGTTTTTTTCTAGACATGTGAGTTTAAAGTTGACGATGAAAATGTCTTGAGTTATAACCCCTGATTGAATAAAAACGCGTGAATATTAGCTTATTAGCTGGCTTACTATTATGATAAACGCTATAGGTTTTCGTCTGATTGGAATGGGATTCTGATGTGACTGTGATACATTATAGCTGGGATTAACTTGACTTTGGTAGATTTCAGAGAAGGTGTGACGTGTTTACCACCGGCAATTTTGATAATCATAAAGTCCAATCCCACATCTATATCAGAGTACCTTTTTCATATTTTGTGTAATGGCGAGTCGAATAGTATCTAATAAGAACAACCTGAAAGGGAGTTTTCTGTAATGGTAATAGTGTTAAGAAAGAATTCTGTCTGATCTCAAATATATATTATGATACCAATGCCAATAATTCTTATACCATATCCATATTCCAAATTTTATGATCAACCGTCCATCAAATAAAAAAAATCACCTTATGACTGGGAATGAAAGATATTGAAGTAGATAGCACCACCAAGGCAAAAATACTTACGAATTGTCGATAAAAAGCAATGGTCTCCATAACGTTTTCTCAGTTTCAAACATATAATTAATTCCACCATAGTCGCTTTTATTCCAGGACAATCTTGTATCATTCCATTTCTGAAAATATTGATGATAAATTTTTATACGTCCACATCGAATTGTGGACAGAGAAACAGCTTTTATTCGATCTTGATGAAACCTAGTATGCGTGTATTATATTGATAAGATAATCGAAAGAAAGGTTTCAGAGTTATTGCCCTTGACTTAGTACAAACGCATGAAATTTGGCTTGATAGAGTCTACAGTTTTTATCTGATCTCTATTAAACTTTGTTTGCATGTATATATTGATGAGATCTCAGTCCAGTTCGAAATAAGTTATAAACGGATGAACATTGAGACATTGTTCATGTTTGAATTTGATGATAATTTGATGAACTGTCTATAAATATTTTCAAGATTATTTGAAAAATCAGTGTTAAGCCACTGAAGACTTTGCTGTCATTTCTGACAGCTGGTAGTGGGGCTATATTACCTTATCCCCAAGCTATCTTAATTTGATTCGTACAACCTTCGATCATTAACATCGTACAACATTTAATCGTGAATAAAATTAATTTCATGCACATCGTCCCTTTCTTCATACACATTGCACATCGTCCACATTTCTTCATGCACATTGCACATCGTTCAAATTTCTCCATAAACATCGCCCAACAGCTGTTCATGAGCATCGTCCATGATCATCTTTCAATATTTGTCCATGAATATTATAATCCAACATATTATGTACATGAACATAAAAATCGTCTAACATTTGATCGTGGGCATCGTCAAACATAAATGTCCACGAATATCGGCCAACATTTAATAATGAGAATTTGATCATGAACACCGTCCAGCAGGATATTGAAATTCGTGGTCGTCACGTCAAATGTTACGGTCATGCACATCGCCCTCATTTAATTTCATACACATCTTCCAACATTTGTACATGAACATAGTTCATCATTTGCTGATTACTATTTTTCATTAACATCGTTCAACAGTTGTTCATAAATATTGTTCAACATTTAATGAACATCGTCAATTTAATCGTGAACATCGCGAAAAATTAGCATTAGATGTAAAAATCGTGGTACAATTGATTATACTAGTAATGTTGATGAAACTAGTACAAACAAAATGCAGAAATTGTTAACAAAATTAATCTATTGACTAAGTTGATATATTGTTCACGTTAATCCATTATTAATAAAGCATATTAAATATTAATATAAAAATGTTAATTCTTGTCATCATGGTCGAATATTTATTTGTTTAAGTCAATCATTCACAATATAAATCGTATTCATTCCACGACAATGTGGTAATTCTCTACAGTTTCCGTAAAGCTGAATCTGTCTCGGTATTGAACGGTAGATTTTATTGGCATTTCACAATAATTTGTCATGGGATAGTAATAAAGCGACCACATGAATATTATCCCCAGGTTTAATGCCTTTAAGAAATAGTTTTGACTCTTATGTTTGCATGTAATGATAAATAATGACTCATGATTCATTTTATTATCAATTTAGATTCATGTCTTATAACTTATTTAGACCTTAACAACCAGCCTCTGATCTTTGAACGACCCGAATTGCGTGATTAAGTAACAATCAATCCTACAAGATTGCAATAAGACGCCTCATTTTGAATTCAGCTTCGACATTTGCCCCTACATTGAGTCAGTCTGCCTCCTATGTGTATCCCCAGTCTCAAGAGGCTGGAGCCGCCACTGGTTTTGGCCATTATTGACTTCCATAAATAAACCATCTCGTGTTTTTTATTGTTGGTTTAAGTGCTTTTTGTTCCAAGAATGATGCGTTGGCATTTCAGATACTAAGTTCATAATATCAAGGGTCACAAAGTACACTGTCGTGGTGATTTGTTTTAGACAGAGTAGAATATTGACTTCATTTCCTGTCCATTCATTATTTTCATAAAACTACTGTTGAATCAATTATATCAATTAAGAATAACATCTTTGTTGTTAAATAACTCCCATGTGAAATCAAGTTATAACATTGAATCTCAATTTTCAGAAGACAATTGTATCACCGACTTTCTATTGAAAGTTAAATTCGGCATCAGAAACTGTACGTATATTAACGATGTATTAACTCTAGTAAATCTGTCACTCATGGTGGATGAATGGCGAAGTAATTAACGGTTATTTCCGGTCCTGCATAACAATAAATCATTGTGTATATACATGACAATGTAAATTAATAATTGGAGACGTATACTGTTGTAGATAACTGTCCAAAGTCCAACACAATGTCATGGTCAAGCTCAATGGCGTTATCAGTAGCCTGATACATGGTCAGGGTTCACCTAGTATAATCACATAAAAATGTATCTCATCCTAGTGCGTACATTTTAAGTTTGATTTAACCAAATTTATTATCTCCCAATCAATTTATTCTGTAAACATCTTATGAATTTTCACTCTTTACTGATTCAAAGTTGATCCATAAATGTCAAGATTCCAAACTGTATTCTTCGCACACCTGATGCATCTTCTTACCCCCACAAAGAAAGTCGAATACTTCGACTAAATGTTGTGGATCTTTTGAACAATCTTTATGTTTGGGTTCGTGATTTTTTCTGCAATTGACCCCACTTGTCATCCTTGGTCTGAAGAGAATGTTATGAGTTATTGCCCTTGAATGAGGAAAAACGATACAAAATTTGTTTGTGAACACAAATAGTGACTACAGTTTTATCTGATTGTAATTTGATTACTTACAGTGGTCAACCATCCAGTTAGTTCTAAAGTCTGTGTCTTCGTAGTCTGAAACGAAACACAATCCACATTAGGCAAAAGAAACATCAATTCTAAAAATACTGGAAAAATCATCCTTAGTCAACTAATTTAGATTTAACATTCTACTAGTCCTTTTTGTTGCCTTAAAGTTCAGTTTACATTTGTGTTTAAATTGAAGTGGTTTGCCGAAACGCAGTCTGCAAAATTGAAATTGGACCCAGTTGCTGAAAAGTCTCGTCAAAATCATGATGCACGTGATATCGTGGACGGTATGGGTATAAAAGACAATTATAACCGTGAGGCTTACATTCGTCATTTCGATTATCAGCCATGCCAAGATTATGAAGGAATGAGAGACAACAAGCGATCGGAAGACTGCAAGGAGGACAGAGTGCAGAGGTTGTTGCAAATGCATTAAATGTCAACGTCAGAGCGATACATCGTTTGCAACATCTCTACAATACCACCAACACCACCAACGACCCTCCGCGTAGTGGTCGTCCTAGAGTTACCACACGCAGACAAGATCGGTAAGGAGCGTTAGCCACCTTCTCATATATATATATACTATTATAGAGAGAGTCGACTATTGATAGAAACAGATGCCTGTGTCCAAGCATCATGGTTTGGGGTCGAATTGGAATTAACCAGAGAGTGGGGCCTGCCCACACTGCCAGCTGTTCCACCAAATATGAGTTGCTTAGTGGCATCAAAGAGTGATGTTTATTTTCGGTAAATGTTAATAATCTTCTGATTCGTTATAAAGATATGATGATAAACAATGGTCCTCTCCCCGTCTGTCATTGATTGATGAAATTGGAAACGTCAATTTTCTAAGACATGTTAGTTGAGAGATATTTCTTAAAACAAGGGTTTGTTTTTTGGTGTTTTTTTTTTATTGAGAAACACTTTTTCTTACCAGTTCATTTAAAGTCAGAATGTTCAGTCTGACGTAAACATCCACCTTCTCTGCTGGTCTTATTTTATCAGTATAGTTGGAATTAGTGATTAGGTTCTGTCTCAATAGAAGTTCATTAGCAATGAAGGCTTCCGTAGAACCACAAGCTGGAATGGTAAATTATCAGAAAAGTATTAGCAACTTTAATTTATCATACAGATCATTCATATTAGATAGAACTAACGTCTGCATACAAATCATTTAAATCAACAATTTGTTAGCTTCATTAGCTTTGACCTTCAAAAATTCAAAGCAATGTGGACCTTCAATAATTCACTAGCATTTTGGACTAGCATTTTGGACCTTTAATACTTACCTAGCATTGTGGGCCTTCAATAATTCACTATCATTTTGGACTAGCATTTTGGACCTTCAATAATTCACTAGCATTGTGGACCTTCATTAATTCACTCGCATTTTCGACTTCAATAATGCACTTGCATTTGAATTTTTCAACAAGGTTTCCCCTGTAAGTGGTGCAGGTTAGAGGGCTGACAGTGCAATTGTGTCTAACTGGTTTATCAAAGAGCTCTGGGATACCGTGTCTTCAAGTTAGAATGAATACTGAGCTAATATAGTACATCATTATTAAACTGATTCATTTTTTTACCATCATTAATTCACTAGCATTTTCGACCTTCAATAATTCACTAGCATTTTCGACCTTTAATAATTCACTAACATTTTCGACCTTCAATAATGCACTTGCATATGAATTTTTCAACAAGGTTTCCCCTGTAAGTGGTGCAGGTTAGAGGGCTGACAGGGAAATTGTGTCTAACTGGTTTATCAAAGAGCTCTGGGATACAGTGTCTTCAAGTTAGAATGAATAATGAGCTAATATAGTACATCATTATTAAACTGATTAAGGTTTATGAATTGTTTTATCTGAGAATCTATAATATTCACATGTTTAATGATTTATGTGTGTCATACTAAAGAGCAGTTTGACACTATGTTAAGTGTTAACAGAAATGTGAAAATTTACACTGAAATAACACATCATCCATTGTATGAATGATTATCGACTTTTTCAAAAATGTGTACATCATGCCCCCTATATTTTTGTTGTTGCTTTTCATTTAGATATTACGGCATGTGTCAGTGATTAGAATACAGAAATAATCATTAGCCTAATAGGTAATTATCAGCCAATTATACTAGTAGTAAAATGTTTATGTTGTCGTTTACAGTATCATGAGGTATTTTTATGTATATATTATAAAGATGTTTTGATTTTGTAGGGTCGTTAGTATCATTGGCTCAACTGATTGAACTGGGTTCCGCGGAGTGGGTTGGGGCCCCTCCTCTAGGAAATTTATTTTTATCATAAGCTCCCCTGTATTTTTTCTGTGTATGGGAGTCCGTGTAGTTGAACCACTGGTTTATGCAAAAAATTATTTGATGTCCAAAATCATGTTCGAAATGTTTTAGTTTTGTCATATTCGTAACACAAAAAACAACAATATTGTCATTCAGGACTTTTTTTCCGAGGATTTTAAAGTATGTGACAGAAAGACTTCTTTTAGTTTACCACCGAAAATATGAAAAATCTGTTACATATTGTAAAAAAACTGATCAAGTCAATTTTAAAGTCTTAGAATAACCAAAAAATTTAAGAATTTTAAACTTGGCGAATGAGAGCCAGTAGATGTACCTTGTGTCATAAATAACATAACAGGAACCTTATATAATCCGATAAATCCAAAAAACTTAGTAATTATCCATAAATATGCAATTTATCAAGATATAGCGTTTTTCAATAATTACTTATTTTTATGCATTTTCCAATTTTCCAGATTTTACAGGGATTTTGTTGTAACTTTATGACACCAGGTAAGCTAAGTGATGAATATATACTCATATTGACCTTTTCGGGAACTTAAATTGTATGTTCATTCTAAGACGTAGTATCAGTTTAACTTAAGATTATTGATATCTTTTTAGAATGCTACGGAAGGTAATTATTTTATTTTTTATTTTTTTCTAAAAATTTAAATGATATTTCATGTTAATTTTGTTGAAGAAAAGTATTTTTTTCGGGCATTTGTCAGAATATTATATATATATATATATATATATAGCCTAGCGTATGTTCGTAGTTGATGAAAGTATTTCACAGACTATTAAAGTATACAAACTTTCTTACCTTTACGTAAAATAGCGAAAACAACCAAGCTTGACAACATTTTCCTCGCACACTTCAAGTCCGAATCCCATATGTCATTAACAAAATGAATGTGTTCGACATGATCTCCCTTGAGAGTTAATCCAAATCTTATGGATTAACGACCAGACCTATTTATATATTGTTTAAATCCTGTTACCATTGAGTTCTATATTACCAATAAGTGATTTATTTCTTATTGTCTTATAACAATATATTCGCGGTATGGAAATTACCGATTTTTATGTTGTTATTGAAAACGTTCTAGAAAATAGTACTGCTAGTCGGAGAATGACTTTTATTCTATATATATGAATAAGAATCTTTTACCACATTATACGAAGTAAGACAGTATAAAAACTAAGCGACTTGTCTTATTAAAGATGTGATATTGTCTATAAAAAGATGCAGCTGTTTGTCACACATTATGTTATTATGTTGATATTCATCACAAGAGGAGATCTTTTATACCTGCACTATTACGTTTTAAATTGTGTTTGCAATTTTTAAAAAAAAATGATAAAGAGACACTTCACTTATATTTAGGCATAAATGAAATCATCTCCTCTCAGGAAAATTTATATAACTTAAATCAAAGGTACTTCCATGTGTAATTTTGCTCCTTTTAAATCCTTCATGCCAAAGACATTTTTTCGTGTTCCAGTAAAGCCTGTTCTTCCAATGGAATTAGTTTCCGCACTAAATCCTATATTGATTGACTATACGCTTATAATATCGTCATGACGTCGTAAGTCTCACAATTTTTTAAATATCAAACAATGTTTCAAAAAACGTTTTCCATTTCTAGCTTAATACAAAGTCCCGATATAGTGTATTGTGAAAGAATTCCAAACTTGTTATGTTCATCTAGGACACTGATATCATTTACTTGCAACATTATAATATTCAGTCAGACATCTGTGGCTCTTGAACAAACGATCTGTGAAATTCCACTAGCGCAATATATCACGGTAATGAATGAGAGCCATTGTTTGGTATTATGCCCAAATTTTCATGTGGTCAAGTGAGTCTAATAGTTCCAACATTAAAGGGATTTTAAAGAGGTTTTCTAACTTTTTATGTGTATCGGGGACATTGATAGCATCAATTTGCATCTTTCCAATGGTGTAACAAATTTACAAAACTCCTTTACAATCCCTTGAAAGGCATCGTGTCCAAACCATATCCCCATTCGTCATACTATAAGACCGTGTCAAAACCCGTATTCGTGATACGATGCTTTAAAGGTTGGTCGTTGGTAACTATAAATTTTCGCAAATAAAATCATTAAAAAGATAAAAACTTTGTGTTCCAAATGATAATGAAAGACATAATAATTTATTAGTTATCGATATTCACAATAAACAAAAATTGCTTTGTCTGAATTAACCATCGAAGAATGTAAAGCGATGGACTAAATTCACGTCGATGTTACAATCATGCCACATACTAGTGGTATAATGCCGGGAGTAATGAAGCTCGCCCAGGAATACACAACGCATACGAGGAGAATTTAGCTTTATGGTAAACTGCCGAGTATTACCGATTGGAATTTCCAATAGATAGTATCTTAATTAGTAGCTTAAGCAATAGCAACGTCATATAAGCTTAAGCATTTGTATAAAAACTGCAATGGCCCGATAGACAGAAAGAAAAAAAAAGAAGAAAACCTCTTTACAACCACTTTCAAGAATGTGGCTTGTTATGAAATAGATAAATATTTGCGCACGTTAATTTATATTACAAGCAAATCATATGATTTGACTGATATTATTATACATAGAGTCAACCTTTATCTTACAAACGTAATGATGTTATAAAACAGCATTTATATTTCCCTCTTTTTTTATGCTATAACAACACGACATATTGTTGAGTCGTGTGAGTCAAATGAATTTGTGATGCACTTTTTCTCACATTTGACATTTTAGTCAGGTCAAGGTACATCTTAAAGAGATATAGTCAACTAACCAACATAGTGAACATTTATTTAACAAAACTTTCATTTTTTCTGAAAGAATGTGCAGGCAGTTATTGGGATTTTTACCCGCATAATTATTGATGACATGCAGGACGTAGTTTTTTTTCTTAAAGGGACGGAATCGCCATTCATGGGGGATGATCGGGTTCTTGAATATAATATGAAAATAGTCTTCATTATTACTAATAATGTACGAACATAGCATAATTCCTTTAAAAACACCTCACATTGAAAATTTCACTTTCTATTTTCTATATAATCTCTTTTTATCTATGACAGAGTCTCGAGAAGAGACAAGTCGTCTGATTATTGATTAGCTAATAACTAAAAAATTATGTTTCTTTGACTAAGGTACGATTGGTCAGACGGATGGTGAATCTGCCCCTTTATTAGTAATGCATAGGTGATAGGTTATTGACCTCTATCAACTTACAGTAAAGCAACTGTTTAGAATATTTTATCCCTTGAAAGGAATAATAAGCAGGTTCTCAAGCCAACTACAAGGTTGAGGAACAGCTTGAAGCTGCTATGATGTATTGTTTACGTGTCCATTGCCACATTTTCTAAACATAATACTTTAAGTATAGTCACAAACAGTGGGTTTTGAGTGAGAGGAATAAAAAAACTCAACAAGAAACCAAGGCAAATAAGTAGATGAATAAATGTAAGCGTGTGTAGTAAACGTATGGCAGGTAAATGTATCACTGGTAAACGTATGACTGTAAACGTAATACTGTAAAAGCATGACAGAAAACAGATGACTGTAAATGTATCACTATAAATGCATAAATGCAAACTTATTAAATATGTACGCAAACTCAAACGCAAACCTGATAAATAAACGCAAATCATATCCAAATCTTTAGGGTGTTAAGTTTGAGTCTAAAGGAACATGTGAGCAGAAAGTTCGATTTGAATAGGATTTGTTTTGGTCCGCTTTTTTTTTATCGAGTTTGCGATTGAGTATGCGTACACATGTAATCGCAGCTTTACTAGTATATACACTAGATATAACTAGTTCACTGGTACATTTTTGGCTGTAAACGTGTAAATGTAAACGTAAACTATGACTCTGAAGGTATTGTAACTATTGATTGTACATGTATGGCTGTAAACATATGACTTTAAACATTTGACTGTCAATATGTGAATTGAAACCAAATAATCATAATTATCCTATAAACTTTTAATTAACATTTATGGCTGCAGTTGTGGTGCCTTTTCACTGAATAATCTTCCCATATCCAATTTCACATATTGTCTGGAACACAAAGGAAAAGATTTTTTTTTACAAAATACGTGTTCAGTTGGTTATCGGTAAATTCAATGTTATCGTGGCAGTGCATATGTCATTCATTTAAAGGGATACAGTCTTCAAAGAAATAAACTGAATTATGACCTCTTGTGATAATGTCCTGTTTCAGTAAACGACTTCGGGTTTGTCTATAATCAAATGAAAACTTATTTGTGGTCCGATAAAGACAGTTAAAGTCGAAAGAAACTTTCTAAACGAATGAAAGTTTCAGATTTTAACCACTTCAATATAAACTAATGAGAGCATTTGGCAATAAAATTTTTAAAAGCTTTGCTACAAGCTTTAACTGTCGTCACGTTAGATTTTACTCTGAAAAGAGCTCCGATAAGTCTCTATCAATTGAAAAAGCAAAATATATGTATTTAATTTTCATATCTTTAACAAAGTACAAACCTTTCATACGCATATTTCCCACCAGTGCTTTCATATGTAGCTTTAGCATTGGATAAATATGCGATGTTCTGAGTCAGGTCGTAAACAGCAACTTGCATATTGCCCGTTTGAACAATAGACACTATATTTCTTATAACAACCTCCGCCGTAATATTTCCATAATACGTTTGAATCTGTTTTGCTAAAACACTGTTAAATGAAGGGCAATCCCAATCCATGCCTTGAATAGAAATTAGAATAAAAACAACGGTAGAACTACTGGCTGTAGTCTTGACTTAAGAAGATGAAATGATGATATGACGTAAGAAGACGGTCGCGAATTTGGTTCTCTCCAATCAATGAATTTTCGGACAGTGGTAATTCATTTTATCAAACTATGAAAGAAAACATGGACAAATATCCTCTACCCCATCGCCTTTGTTTATAAATGATATTAGTTGTTCTAAGCTTATGCGTTAATGAGGTTTCAGCCAAGATGAAAGGTGGATTAATTGAAATAAGAAAAAGGTTGGGGAAGTTTCTATACGGACCTACCATAGTAAACAACATTATCAATTCTAGGATGCCATTCTGCTGAAGGTTGCATGTTCATATCATCATAAAAATTAGCCACCGATGCCGAATATTCGATAGATCTAAATGCTGGAAGCTGCAAACATAGAAATTGTAACATACCAAAACAAAGGATGACTTCTTAGACCTTTACTAACCATGATCGTGTGGGCCACCGGATGTGCACTACCCGGTCACTCAAAAGTGAATGTTTGCTTTCATTAGCCAGGTTAAGAAAAGTATCTTCACTTTGATTGATTGTTACACCTATTATAAGATAATCACAAATCTGAACGCATCCTTAACATCGCTGTTCCATATCGATGCCGTGAATTTTAGGCTACGACTAATGCATTAAAACCGCAATTCTTCTCTGCAAATACTACAGTAGTAGCAATGGGAGTCTCCGAAATTTTATCTTAATTCGTATAAAGCAGAAATACAATACCTTTCCATCTCCAACTCCCAGAATAAGATCACACGTTCGCTTACTATTAGAGATACGGTTGATGGCATCATCTAATGTTCTATCATACTGTAGTATATCTCTCAATAGATTCTAGCAATGCAAAGGAAAGAATTTCAATTCTAACCAGAAAGTGGTATTGATTCGTATTGTTGTGATTTCTTATCCAGCATGCCTAGTTGGTCCACCAAGAAAGGTTGTTTAGTTTATCAGACCATAGTCGAAATAGTGTACATGCTTTTCTTGAAAGTCTATACAAGTGCTTCCGGCTGTACACAGTAACGTGCTTGTAAGTGTAAAAATTGTTTACAATACCGCAAATATCTTCCGATTTTACATGATTGTTTTTGAAGTAGAATCTGTTATCATTAGTTTCTGTGTAAGAATATCGAAAATTGGATTGCAATATTGGTTGGCCATATACTATGAATTAAATATTCAAAATGGTATTACCGTAAAAGGGACGCCTATCCTCGATTCTTTACCAAATGTTTCATCAGGGAAAGATACACCAATTTCTGAAATTGCCATTTGTTTGGAATTCATACCTAAAAATCAAATAAACACGTTTATCTGTTGGTTTGTTTTAAAAAGGAGGATCTAAATATCGGTAGTAACCCCGTTAGTTTTAATGCTCATTTATGGAAGTACCAATAATAGGTGCCATAAAGTTTACGTCCAAAGTGGGTTTTGCATTCAAAATGTCTTGAGGAAAAAATAGACCATACCTGTGATGGAACCAATCCATCCCGTCCAACCAAAATTTGCAAAGTCTTGACCATAGGTAGAATTAACTGGGTGATAGACTGTCACTTGTGGAAAATCTTTAAAAGGACCTGAAATATGAAATGGATTAATTGATACGCAATCTAGAAAATATTGTACTTATATATGAAAAGGGTTCAATGAGAAGTCGAATGCTACTCGTGACTTGCTCGTGAAAAATACACCTACAGACGACAATGTATGATCAGATTACAAGTTTTGAGTGTGGAAGTGGTTAGTGGTGTATGAACGTTATGTGCTTACCATCAACTGCCCAATCTAATGCTCTTAACTGAAGAAGAGAATCGGCAACAGGTACAGCTTTACCCCAAGCCCCCAACATAGAGCAAGATCCTTTCCTGCAATAAAAGGTCAATTACCCGCATATACTCCTCTACTATATTCATAAATGAAAATGAAATGAATGGAGTTTTACGTCCTACTTTTCTGCATACTATATTCATAGCATGCTACCCCATCATATAGAACTATTTAAAACGAAAATTAGAATTTTATTATATAATCAATTTGATTAAAATGAATATCATGATTACTTTCCATGTTTATTCTCTATGTTACTACATCGATCAAGATTAATCTGCAGAATAAACACAGAACTAAGTAATATCGACCGGTGCTTTGATTGGATTGTAATCGGGATCAAAATTTGAATAGGAATATTTGCTTTATATAAAACATCAGTTTGCGGACAATGCTGATGTTCTTTAGTATTACTGACTGCTATCAAATACAAAGGTAATGCTTGACCAACTTCAATCAAAAAAGAGTTAAATCAATGGTCTTTTGAGTGTCTTTCAACGGCCTCTGTAATTGTCTCGAATAATGGAGTTACTTCCCATTATCTCACAGTCGAACAGTAGATACGATTGTGTCCTATTGTGTCCTATTGTTTTTACATAATAATGTTGGTATTTGAAAAGGTTATGGACTTTATAAAGTGCCTTTGAGAATTAAACTGCAAATTATATCTTTTTAAATGTGTCGAATTTTGGAGAGTTATTTTTTGATTAAAAGAACAATAGATTTCGATTGCGTTTGTAGTTGCTTTCTTGCATGACGTTGTTCAAAAAGAATCGTCATTGCTGATTTGCTACGGGTTATTGAGGATGGAGTTGAGATGGGTTTAAAGTCTGGGAATGATAACTTACGTTAGCTCTCCAATCAAATGAATTCTGATCAACTTCTGCAAAACACAAATTAAATTGGTACAAAATGTAAATGCCCAAAATATTTCTACCAAATCACTGATGGATCTGGTATCATTGGCTCAACTAGATGCATTCTGAGACCCCCCTGTAAGTCAATTTTATGGTATTAATGATCTGTCAGACTGTCTGAGTCCGTGATATTCAGGATCGGGACCCATGGACTTGGTTCAACCAATCCCTGTGGTAGTTGAGCCACTGCCTGATACATGCTCGTGACTTTCATCTTATTCCTGATAGATAGGCCCAAAGTGTACGGGTGTAATAATTGGCTTCTTGTGATTAAAACTTAAACTTAACTTAATAATTCAGATTGAAAATATGATATCTTATAATAAGCAGAGGAAGAAGTTAAAAATATGACGTACCTTTGCATCAACATGAGCAGCATCACTAATTCCCCGAATTTCTTCGAAGAACTTAGGATTAGTGAAACGCTTAGTTATTAGTTCTTCCAAATCTAAGGCTGCATCTAAACTGTAACGAAGAATTGACATAACTATTGTATTTGATCGATGGAATGCCTAAAATACACCATTAATTAGCTATTTCTACTTCCAGATCAATGGTGGTATATTGTTATCGTGTCACATTCTGCTTTATAGTCGGACACAGCAGTTTAGGATGTTGACCACTCTTGTGACAGCATTAGATTGAAAAAAGGATAATATGAAATGGTTCGGCATGCAGACGATTATGGTACTTCTCACGTAAAAAGCAAGAGATTTTTGTTTGGCTAGTTCAATAGAGTTCAAATGTTTTTTTCCACCCGGTTTCTAACGGTCCGTTAATCTTTAGCCCATTACATTATAAGTTGATCCTACCGGGTAACCATGAACTATGAACCATCGCGGATATAAATTTAAATTTAATCGACTAAATAAGTAGATCCTTTAGTCTTATGAGCAGCTTAAAAGTCGAATTAATCCAGTCACACATGTCAAAATTACTGTTGGCGATATGAAAGATTGGGATTATGATAATCCGATGTGTTGCTGTGTTACACAATTACAATTCTTTAGCAACATGCCAATTTGCATGGTATATAAATCTTAAATATAATTAGAGACATTGAGAAATAGCTCAGTCCATTGACGGTCGCTGTCTGTTTTAGGGTTCTACTGGAACGATGGACGACTGGAAATGGGTGTTGTCGCATATTCCGTTAGAACTTCCATTTGGATATACGCTTACTTCGTTTCTTTCTAGGTTTTTCAAACTCTGGAATACACAGTGGACGGTGTAAAAACTGTTCCCGGTCTGAGGTGACACGTTCATTAGCGCCCTCGCAATCGCTGTATATACAGTGCTATGAGGGAGAACATGTTTTCCGAGGACCTCATCCGATCCGACTTGGACTTGAGGATGCTACGATCGAATCAACTGAGCTTTGTTGAATCGGATGAGGTGTTTGGTACGTCGACGATAAAAAAAACGCGTGAATCTAATTGTCAAAAAGAATGCAACGGAATTAAGTTTGATGTGGCGAATTCAAAGTCTAATGAAAACTTGCTATAATATTGCAACTATGGAATTTCCTATAGAGACGTTCAACAATGGATGAAATCTCATTAACAAACTTGTGTGGACATAAAATGTATAATTGCATGAGAAGTCGGATGCGGAATGAGACGAATTAACCGATAGAGGGAGCTGTGGGCACTTGGAAGAGTGGCTGTTGACATGTTAACATAACCATCTTGTTGATAAATTCTTTATTCTTTATGTTTGTGTTATAATGTGTTTTCAACTTGCACTACTTAAGAGAGATACTGGAAAATTTAATAAATTCAAATTCCTCCAGAAGAGAAAAAAGCTTTAACCGGACGACTCATCGCTCCATGATACTCACCCAAGATTTGCTACGTCGTGTAAAAACCAATCTTTAAATACTATCGTGTTATTTATGGCGGTTATCTAAATAAGAAGAATAGTTTGTGGTACTTATACTGACCGATACAATATAGGAATTATATGCGCATGGTCAACAGCATGTTTGAACTGTTGCTTAGAATTATAACAGCATATAAAATACACAAACACAATTAGAAAAGGCCATCAAACCAACAAAATATATATGGTCTGCCGAGCAGTCACTGGACTGTCACTGGTATAGGCTTCTGATGATGGGAAAATATCTAAGGTAGAGATAGTTCCCCAGATCAGTTATTAATTAATTAATTAATAATGTCATTAATATATATTGTAAAACTCCTCATGATTTTAGCGATACTCACGATTTGGTCCTCCATATATTCCCAAACGGCGTTCACCATCCTCTGGGTATCATTTGGTATTAACTGGCCTTGGGCGTATCCCATTTCATATGATGTTCCTGAAAAGGCCAATCATTCAAAGTTGTGAGAAACTTCTATCATAATCAATATTCACTTCATTCACCTTGGTGCGAAATTTCGCTTTGCTCCGGTTTTTAGTCGAACGTCAAACCCTAGCGGTAAAAAACTAAAAGATACTTTTGTGTTTTTACTCGATAGGCCATAACAATGGAAGTTCGGTTTTTATTTACAAATGTAACCTGCTTAGAAAAAACTCTCTAGTACATTCATTGCTACCTGTCATTCTACTTAAAATACTCACTTGTCGAAGTCAAAAACAGATTACAGTCAAAATGTATTATGTGACACACAGAGAATGCTTATATGTTATATGTTCTAAAAAACTAAGGACCACTTACCATAGACATGAATAATTTTGAAAGCATCTTCACCACTACCAACCTCATAAAGTTTACCATTAGGTACGGATCTGATGAATCTTGGTACACCTGTATCTATTGGAATCAGATTAGGTTGGGCTGTTTTCTTGGGCTGAAATTGCAAGAGGTATATATTGGAATCAGATTGGAATGGATTATTTTCTTGTGTGGTTTTAGACTTAGAATCAGGATTGAAAAATCTAATGGTTTGCTTTGGCAAAATAGCAACAATGTCAAGAAAGTTAGGAATCGTATGGAAAAATTCTACTATTTACGGGTTAAAGGGGGACCAGCTTGCTTTGGGAGAGGCTCTTTGTATAAAACTAACCGGAAATGACGCCCCCACGATCATGAGCTCCCAGGGTTAAATTGTCCAAATATTTTCTAGATGAGAGTCCTAGTTCAGTTGTATTTTACAGAACGGAAATTCATGCAAATGACATTTAAGATATTTTGAATATCGTCACTTCTCGTCTTGCAGAAATCAAATACTAACCAGACGTCTATAAATGTGGAGCTGAAAATAATCTTATTACTAAGATAATAAGAGTACACCACATCGCGTTGTGTCTTATATAATGCATATGTCTTACCGATCCGTGACAGAAAGCTGCATCCAAGACAGGTACAACAGAAATTAGGATAAAAACGTGCAATAATAATTTACTTGTCATGATTATATGCGTTGTTATCATCAAATGATCATAACATATTTATATTTGTCTGAATTGATTTGTTATCGTATGATAATAGGGTTAAAGGTCACAGATGAATTTTTTCGTGTGTGTATAAATTGTGGGTGTTTTTTTTTTATATTGCAAAACTGCAAAATATAAAATTTATTGGAGATGGAGAGATGGTATCTTAACTATAAAATTGTCTTTGAAATTGTATAGACTCGGTGTGCTATAAATCCCGGAGAGCCGAGAATTAAAAATAAAAAATAAAATGAATGGGCGGCTAACTGGTATCATCTTTGTTCTATAAAAATCGCATTCACTGCATTGTTTACGTTTGTTCGTTTTATTTTGAGTCTTAAACTAAGTATAATTTTCTGCAACAATTTGTCACTGACAGAAAGAAGAGTCCGTATCATTAAAAAAACCCCAGATTTTCGGCCTGCATTTGAAAAATATTTTGATATCTGTTTGATTAGTGTTTCATGTTGTGTTTGTTTTTATGGAATGTAATATATTCCAAAGTTTTCTTTTTCATAATACTGTTATTTCTGGACTATTGGTCTTTATTAAATTCTGTCTTAATATATGTCACTGAGTTAAGTACACAGAATTTATTTCGTCTCAGTCTTTGTATGACCCTGATTAAAAATTCTATGAAATTTCTTCATAATCCATCGGTCAACAAATTAGACAAAAACTTACAAAGACAAAAAGAGTTGTGTAATTTCCCTTTTATTGAACCATAATCGCAGTCAATCCCCCAAAGTTTTCTTCACCAAATTACTTATAAATACCGACTATCTTTCCATTACATTCCTCTTTGGAGCAAATTGTGTGTAGCAGCATACAAACGTTTTAATCTTGAAAATGGCTTGGAGAATAGTAACAATCATTTTGAACATGTTGGTGAGTACGCTATCTAATAGTTCATATATAACTAGAGATTTTAGCACTATTTAGAGGACAATTCGTTTGTCTGTGACTGATGTTCTATCACGATATACATACAAATTAAAATCCCTGCCGCGCAAGAATCCTCGAATATAATTTCGTGATCTCTATCCACACATATTCCGATTCCAGATCTCATGATATACCTGTTTGAATGCAGCAAAGAGAGAATTACGATCATTGCGATGGACAATACTGTATCTTTAAACCGTATGAATTTGAAATGCTTCGAACATTAAAGTATACAGTTGCATTTAATTAGACATTTTGATAGCTTTTAGAACAGAAATATACGATTGGAATTTTGTAACCCTCCTGGACCGGATATCCAATTTTTTTTTTTAAGAATTAGTCAGATTAATTAAGACATTCCGAATACAGGCTTGTCAATAAGTTTTTTGTTTACACAAGAAACATACCGGACTTCATCGAACAAGAATAAAGTACGTCGCCGACAATATCAGACTATTGTAGAGGTCAAATTTATTTATTTACACTGTTCAGATAAAAGAAACTATGAGGTCATTCAATAAAGCAAGTTAAACCCCAATTAGTCTCTTTTAATCCATCCATTCATACCTTCACCACATAGCTGAATAAAAATTAGTTCCGTTTGGTCTTCTAGCATGGTACATGTCCATAGTCAGATCTTCACTCTTTTAGTATTATATTAAAAATCTGAAATATAATCGCAGCCCTTTGAAAGGTGGATTTAGAGGCATAGCTTTTTTATTCGACGTTCGTGTAATTCCAAAAAAAAAATTCTTGTCATATTAAGACATCATTATTATATACTATCAGATATATATAGTCTTACCACCAACCTATTACAATGTGCTTGAGAATATATAGGTGCATATCTATAGATCAAGAAATTACAGAGAGTATTTCGACTATACTTTGTACCATATAAAAATTAATCTCATCTCCATATATTTTGATAGATTGTAGGAATTTGCTGTTTAGAAGAACCAGAAGGAGATATAAGTATTGATGAAATAATTCGAAATGCTTCAACGGGTAAGATAATTTTGTTGGAAAGTAGAAACCTTATAGGCCTCAACTGTGCTCTATTTTAACATGCAGGCGACCAGGATATGTTCTATCATGGCGTGTCAAATATAAAATTCAGTACCCTTTCTAGAATCTAATAAGCTCTATCACATCATAGAACTAGGCCTATAATATATCACATAAAGTATATTTCTGGTTATTTCAGGCAGTGTCATTGACAACAGAAATGGCGATGTCATAGTAGAATATGACTTAGTATTGAGTTTAGATGAGTATGAAGCACATTACGGAAATATGTAAGCATAAACATAGTCCGAAACGTCTGCATATATTTCAGCCTCTGATGGATATTTTGACAATTGTCACCTAGAGTAGAATTGTGGATAAATGCTCCCATTTAACTGTGTGCTATGCCAGCATTATAATGATAATATAACTGAATAAGACAAAGGGATCGATAATTTGCATATTCCAATAGTTAAATCACTAACAGGTTTACACAAATAGCTCGCACCGCAGTTAGTATGCCAAGATAACTGTTTTTCAATGATAATTTGCTACATGAATACAGAAATCCGTCGGCAATATTCCTATTCGAAAGAAATCTGTATCACTGAATACCGTAAACATGTAAACGAAATTCTCCATTTATATAACAAGGAAAAATTGTTACCTGATAATAATTCTACCGCAATTTTCATACACATTTTCAGAAACTACAAGGATAATACTATCATCAGTCCACGGAAAGCTGTAAAATCTGATCATGGTGGCTTATTGTGGCCAAATGGCGTCATTCCTTACGAAATAGCATCTAACACATTTAGTAAGTTAACATTTTTTTATAATTTTCAAAAATATACCTCTTATTTCATTCCTTAAAGATAAACACTGCGGGTTTAGAAAAAAGTCGATCGCAAAAAAAAAAAAAAAAAAAAAAAAATGAAAATTATAACTCAATGAACAGTTAATGACGTTATTTGACAGAAAAATATTTTTGAAAATTATTTGATCAGTTCATACTGAGGCTGGCTGTAGCAACTAAATTGGCTCTCCGTTTAGCATCTGTTTCTATCAAATCCACGACAATTTGTTTTAGGCTATCAACAACGATCCTATATAGAATACGCTATAGCAGATTGGGAGAGATATACTTGTCTACATTTTAGAAAAGCTAACTATAACGATAAGAGAAAAGTTGTTTTTTCCAATGGTAACGGGTAAGTCAAAAGAATAAGGTAATTTTACGTCAACATCTTCCATTACTCACTTTTTTAAGCATCGTAAAAAAATCCCGCCACCAGTTGAACCATGATTATAGCCACTAGCTAGAAATTATCACTATCTACGAAGAGACAATGATCTTCGGTAAAATTTGTCAATGTTTCTTTGATCATACCATTTAATTAGAAATATTCATCACCTTTCATTTTACAGTTGGTTGTATGCCAGTTTGGTGGCTAATAATGAAAGTGGCCGAACGCAACTCACAACTCAGATGCATGACCATTATTCTTTTTCGACCAGTGCATGTATCTTTTGTTAATTGATGATGTTAGTGATACTGGTGCCATAACCTGTCCAGTCTTTGTGGATATACAAAGAGAACGTATAAAATCATGTATTATGAATTATATATGTAAGTGGATCGGAAAATCTCTTGATAACACATTAAGTTTCTATTGATTCGACAGTCATTCACCCTATTTTTTTTATTTTAAGATGTTGGTCGAACATTGGTATGACAAGAAATTACGGTCCACAGTACGTTTATTTAGCACCAAATTGTCGATACGTATGTATAGGACAGTTAATTTTGTTTAAAATCCATTATGTGAACGTTTATTGATGATACCAAATCACGCCCATCCGTTCACATTCCATCAAAAACGACCATGAATTTTGTTTTTGCAAGAAAAAGCATTTGTATATATAACCTCTATTATCTCCCTTATTGAAGAATGTTAAATTCTCATAAAACTTTGTGAATAGGTATTCAAAACAAACAAGTATTATGAGCATCATGTTTAAACCTTTCAGAAATCTATCATCCTACACGAAATCGGTCATGCTTTGGGGTTTTTCCACGAACATACCAGGCCCGATCGTGATGATTTTGTTTACATTCAAGAAGAGAATGTAATGTATAATCAACTTTACAACTTCCGTAAGAACACGTGGTATGTAACCGACAGTCATGGCGTTCCGTATGATTATACCAGCATCATGCATTACAGTGACACGGTTAGTCATATTTATTCTTGAACGTATTAATTTTGATGGCGGGCCAAAAAAGTTGTGCCCAGATCTTTTTAGATATCTGCAGTCTGGAAGAAAAAGGAAACATATTTTTGGAGAATTTGAGAGTCCTTTTGCTTGCTTTACAAAATTTTAAGGTATAACGTCCATTTTACTCCTATTTATAACCCGATTAACCGGATGTAAATACGAAACAATCCAAAGTATCCGGCTAAATGGCCTAGATGGAATCGTTGAGAGAATGTTGTTTTTAGTCCTTTAATACTAGTATTCTATCGATGATTATGATCTTATAGGCGTTTTCGCGAAACGGTGCGTCAACAATTGTTACCAAGAACAGAAACTACCAATCGAGAATAGGAAAATATCGTCAGCTTAGTTTTCGAGATATAAAAGCAGCCAACAAAATGTACCAATGCAAACCAAGTATGTATTCCAACTTTTGTGTACCATGCTATTTAATAAAATTCTTCAACTTGTACCCTTATTTACCTTGATCACTTAGCGTCGTCCATTGCTTTGTTAGTTTGTAAAATTACTTCACTCTTTTCAGATTGGTGTAAATATACTGATTATAACTGCCCTGGTGAGGGGTTTATTGGTAAAGATTGTAAATGTTGGTGCGTTGGTACTCCTTATAAACAATGTGGTCTCATTAACGTTTATCCTCCGACAACAACAACCCTTCGTCCGACCACTACCACCGTTCGCCCAACAACAGCTGGTAAGAGAATGTTATAAACAATTTCAGGTGTGTCGACAGATTTGTGCACTTCCGTATTATTATCCAATCAGTTATAGCCTAACCCTTTTACAATGGAGGCATATTTTTTTGTATCCTTTCTTCCTTAAAGATAAAGTTTATTTCATATCCGCAGCTTTAGTCAATGCTGGACAAATAAGAGCTGATATATGTTGATATTAGTGTCCGTACCTTTGGTATGTTTCTAGAAGATTGTTAGTTAATAGCATAGCCCCGACAATAAGTATTTTATTCAAGGTTGTATAAATACAGCGATTTTTTTGTTTGCTTGTAGGAAACTGTGTGGACAAATACTCTCTATGTAACTACTGGAGTACATTTGGTAGATGTACCTCCTCACTTTTCGTAAAGAACAATTGTAAAAAATCCTGTAACAGTTGTAGTGTTACAACTCCTCCGCCCCCACCAGGTAATTATTAACATAGCCTCATGAATTATTTCTCTAATCCTTTTCTTCGTGAAAATTCAAATACTATAGTTTACAAGGATGACTACAATGATCCTTTCTATCAGCTGGTACTAGGCAAAACATCTTACCAGGCTTATCGTACCCATGTACAGCTGGATCGACTGGAATTATGAGTGATGATGAAAGCCAGACTTTCACACGCCGACCGAGATAAGAACCCACAACCACGACGTAAACAAACAAATGACAAGCAATGGCCAACGTTAACGTATTATTGGTCTTTCAGTTATAATCTGTGCAGACAGTGGTAAACATTGTGAATATTGGTCTAACGCTGGTTTCTGTCAAATTACTAAATACAAATGGTTCTTGATTAAAAACTGTATGCGATCTTGTGGATTGTGTAATAGTCTAGGTAGGTGTAGGGTTTAATCTTCGCATCCAATTTTTGCTCCTGATACAACTTGAATATGTGTGATATAGCACATAAGAATAGAAATAAAATTTAGACATTACATGTTAACGAAACCGTATCCGAACTTCAAAATTACGAAAATGAAAACATCTCTAACTTAGACCATTTAAGACCTTACCAATCAGATCAGCAAAGCAGTGTTTCAGCAGACGGTTTGTACCTCTGTCTCCAAAAAGGTTTGAATATAACCTGGTAATATATATTCGCTGATAGACAAATACTTCCAACACAGTAAGCTTTAATTGCTTCATTGATATCAAGTCCACTCAGCCAAGTTACCCATGCAAGTATAATCATCAAAAGATTTGGTTTAGTTTTAAACAGTTTTTAACAAAACCTAGCATTGTCTATAATATTGTCCCTTCAATTTTACTGTATGATTATGTTTATTTTTTCCAGCTCGTGAAGGAAAGTGTCAAGACAACGATATCGAATGTCCGAAGTTGGCGTCCAAAGGAGACTGTGAAAATAATTCTGAATATATGGAAGCCAGTTGCAGAAAGTCTTGTAATATGTGTAGTCCAAATTGAAATTTCCAAACGAGACACTTACTGAAAATTCAAATAAAAGATGAAATATAACTAAGGGGTTTGATTTTTAAAACATTCATGTATTGTAGATATTTACATTATTTCTGGGTGGACGACGGCGTTCAATATATGGTTGAATATAATCAAGAAATTGCTACATTTGATGATGGGATAAACTTCAGTAGTTTGTTCTAAAGGAGGCTTCTCTCCTTTTTAGCTAATCACATGATGTCTGAGACTAGTTTATCCGAAACATCTGTCTCTATTCCAGCCTCTGATAGCTATTTGGACAGGATGTAGGCTGGAGACAGAGAAAAGGCCCTGTTACATGTGGACATTCCGCATCTCCACAAGTGCGGGGGTTTTTAGATATCTCCGATATAACCCAGGTATATTTGGAAAGATGAATATTTTTGTAGTTCAATCATACATCTATTTTCTCCCCACACCATACGTCACGTCACCGGCTCTTTCTTTTTTTTCTTCACGAAACTGATTTCGCATCAGACATTTCAAACTGCGTGCGCAGTCGAAAGTTCAAAACAAAACGAAACTTATGGTGGTGCCTAACACTAATTTACAAACATCGTAATGGTAATTTATATTATCTTCAGAGGTGTGGAAATTTCCAATTTAAAATTTTGATGAGACTCTAATAATATATCGGTTATAAATGGCGCTCTATGTTCATCAAAACAGGCCGACTGAGTGTAATTCGTAGAAAAAGACCGAGGCTAGGTTTATCAGACAACCAAATCGACACTAATGTTAACGTTATCTTGGGTATTAGAAGATTGTAATATACCTCAGGGTATACCCCACTTCAGTGGCGGAACCAGGTTTGTGTCCGAGAGGGGGCGAAAAATCTGAGATTTTACGGAGTAACGGTCCGTATTATATTTTCAGGTAGTGTTAGTAACTGTGAACACAGTATCTATGAGCCTACTTTGCATAGTTGCATAAAAAGAATAACTCGTCTTTTGAGCACGATGTGCCCAATTATTCAGTTTACTGCGTTTAAATTGTTTTTTCTTTTTCTTGAGGTTGGGGCCTATTCAGTTGGTAGTTAAGACACACCAAAAGGGATCAATGATATAATCCACTGCATTATGTTTTGCTTTAGATGACAGCACTGAATTCTAGCTAGCCTTTCTATCTGATCTTTGCTAGTTATCATTAAAATAGGTACGTTTTTGTCTAAAATGCCGGCTATCCCTGACATTGCCCTTGTGTATTCCATCTTTTCAAGTATGAGAGGAGATAACACCCCCCCCCCCTCTCCACTGCTATTTTTTCCTAAAAAAGCCACTAACGGTACAAAAAATTTAATTTGATAGATTTTGTCAGGTTTAATCTCAACTACTAAATGTTTTTTTTTTATAATGATAACGGTGATCCGCATGATTTGACATCTCCCATAAACATATATATAAACTGCGAACATCTACACTTAGTCAACTGTTGCTTTTAGAGTTCTAAAAAATCAAGAGAATGAAGATCTTAGTAAGCATAGTATTATGTGCTGTATTTTTACTGGTAAACGTAAAAGAAGGTTCTGGAATATTTGATAAACACGGGAAATCTGAGGCAAAGAATTACGCAATATCTCAAGAGTTTTCCGGTTTTTACAAAAATATACTTGACAAATGTAACGAAATACAAGATGTAAGCCGTTTCTTGTGTAAAACCGGTAATAGCAGCTGTTGTGCTTTATTCAGTGCGGCTGATTTTTGTGTCGGAAAATGCGAAGATAATGGGATAAACACACAAGCAAATATTTTAGAATTATTCGAGGCAATTACACTTGAAAGTTGTGTAGAGTTGGTAGCTGCATACGGGAACTGTCAAACTCCGAGTTCAGAATGTACAATAATAAAGCTCTTTTTGGAAATCTGTGTCATAAAATTCCCTTTACTCGTGAGTCCAATTACGTCACCAATAACCAGTCAAATTACGTCACCAACCACGTCACCCACGACTAGTCCACTTACGTCACCTATTACCAGTCCACTTACGTCACCTATTACCAGTCCACTTACGTCACCTGTTACCAGTCCACTTACTTCACCTGTTACCAGCCCGAATACCAGTCCACTAACGTCAGCTGTTACCAGTCCATTAACGTCAGCTGTTACCAGTCCACTTACGTCACCTGTTACCAGCCCGATTACCTCACGACCTGCAGGTAGGTTTGCTATATTTGAGAGACAAACTGACATAACTAGCACGTGACAGATCTTGCTTGTGACCATACTGAAATGTGAATTTTGTTTCAAGAGACAAACAGATGGCTTTAACGAACACATATAATACAGGTTTCTTGACAAATATAGTATCTGATGCTGCTAACCAGTAGACATATTTTGTAGGAGTGTTTTACTGTGACGTGTTAGGCTCGGGTCGAGTTCAGATGCCTGTATCAGTTTGGTGTGATGACACTGTGGATTGTAACGCTCATATAGAAGATGAGCAAGCAGCAAATTGTAGTGAGTATATAATTAATTGACCAAGCGAATATATATTTGAAACACGAATTATTCGGCAGCAATAATTATAAACCAATTTGATAGAAATGTATTTTCAAAGATCACAATACTTTAAATACACAACACAAATAGAAATATAGGGCATGCTTTTCATTGTGATAATTTTTTTTAACCTCAAGGATAAAATAAAGTAAAGTAAAGTAAACACGCCAGACTGATATTTATGTTGGTTTCCAACTTTTAGGTCTTTTCTGATACCTCTATCTTCTGATGCCTTTGCTTGAAATCAAATTTAAACATCATCTTTAAACCAGTGTAATTATATTCTTACAATGACTTTGTGTGGATAAAAAATTTAAAATTTTTATAGGTTTACACTTTTTTAAGTGAAAGCAAATTTCAGGTTGATAATGTGTGCTCATGTTTATATTTTTATCAGGAAAAGATGATCTAGAACAAACAGCACTTTTTCGAAGCTTATATTATTATTCAAATTCGCGTAAAAACAATCGGTAAAATTCGGTTTTACCAATGAACTTCCTCGGTCGAAATAAAGGACCAAATATTTTACTAGTGGACAGTATTTTTTTTTGTTTAGATGTAGGCCTAATTACTAAATTTTAAAATAAAAATGCTTCTCGGGTACCCTCTGAAGTGTTCACAGATATTCGGATACAAGCTCCCCGTACTGTGACCGTCATTTTATTCCCGATCATTACCAAATCTAAATATATGCGTTTTGTCTCATTATTTCGTTTATTGAATTGTTTTTATCCAGATGGGTGTATAATGGGACAATTCAAATGTGGTGCTTCAGAAACAACGTGCCAGCCAGCCACCAATTTATGTAATGGAATGCAAGATTGTGAAAATGATTTCGACGAATCTAGTAGAATATGTGCACCTTAGTCAGAAACTATATGATGATGATACAGAATTGTTCTGTGTGTCAAAATGTTTTTTGGTTGTTTTTAGTATCTATAATATTTTAATTGTATTTTAATTACATGTATTGCTTTACTAACAGAATGGTCTTATTATAATTGTTGTTGGTTTTATAATTATTTTTATTATTATTATTAAGGATAAATTCACTTATAATGTTTCTAACTCCATAATGTTTTTATTTGTTATTATCGTATTTAAAACAACGATATTATGATATTTTTATTGTTTATTGAATAAATGTTTTATCGATTTATTTCACCATACAATGTTTCATGAATTCCAAATGAGCTTGTTTGACAAGTGAGCAGCAATGGCGCATTTGGTTCTAGTTAAGGTATGCATTTTAATTATGAAATGCTTGCTCATTGTTGCGGGTGTTTGTAATATTTTTCGAATCATAATATAACGCCTTTCTTGAACCCTTAAAATTATATTTATATCTTTCCATCAGTTACCTGCCTTGAATTATTAACATTCATCGGTCTCTTTATGCGACTATTCCACACAAAGCATGAATCCCACGAATAGCCCATATTTGTCAATTTTAGGAATCGCGAGGATTCGTGGAATTTTAGCACATATTCTGCGAGGCTCTACGATCTAGTTACGAATATTCTTAGGATTTGTCTGGATTGGCATGAATATTGTCAAGAATTCACTACGATTTTCAAGAAGCTATTAAGCTTACAAATACTGCACGAAATCAGCTAAAATATACCGAATGCATGTACGAATTAGGTACAATTAAAAACGAACTGTTCTAATATAACATGTTGCATTAGACTTGAAAGTTTTTTGGGGGAGAAATTCCGACCAACCATATCCACCACATCGTAAAAAATACTTTTTTATCTACACAATGTTTTATAAATCCATAATTAAACAAAATATAACGTATCATTTTATTTCAAATAGAACAAACCGGAAGTACTATAAATTAAGTAATGTAGATATATATACAAATAATTTGTTATTCTTTCTAGAAGCTGTTAGAAAACGGATTTGAGTAAAATAAACGCCTGATTGAAAAGAAAAATGTCTCCTACGTTTTCTAAAGATTTCAACTATTGATAAAGAGCCATTATAAAGCTAAATACCAAACTAGGTCAAACTGCTTAATTAAAAATTAGTACTCTCAGTTTTAATCAACCCTTTTAAAACAAATTCAGTTTTCAGATCAATTAGATACAAAGATATAAATAGCATAGGCCTACTTTAGAAATATTTTCAGGTATAATTTATGACGTTTTAGTTAATAAAAATTTATTTCCAAAAAATCTGAATGTCGCTTTAAGATGTAATTACACATGAAATTGTATTTATTTACAATCAAAATAACAAAACAAATTAAGTTCTCTACTGTAAAAAATAAGCGCAGGAAATTGAAAAAATATTCTCAAAAGAAGGATATCTTATGTTTTTCAAATTTTAACTTTGTTATAAAATTATAATATAATATAATAATAAAATATAAATATATAGAAATTTTCATTGAGATGAAATAATATTTACCAAGGTAAATCAATCATTACAAAGTTTTATATCTGACAAGAACTGGAAATGAGCTCTATCAACTGGTACAGCAAATGGTGAGACGGATAATATCTCAATGATACTCTGGGGGTGTTGTAATAAAACTGTGCTGGTATGTAACATACACCGAATTTAACGGTTTAATACTATCTGAGTTAATATTTATAGTTGGAATAACCCTCAGTTTGCTCTTCTCCGTTCATAAACACATGGTACTGATCTCGCAGTTGTTCAAATGATAGTCGCTGTATCTGATCCAACTGCCAGCACTTCAACATCAGATCATAGTTACTGAAAATAATATAGAAAGACTAGATATTCATTCTGTATCTATATAAACAGTGACAGCTCCAATCTTCTGGAACTAAGGGTATTTAATTGGGATCATGAGTGTGCAAGACCAACTTCGTTTGCGACATCTTCCGCGCTACCTGTTTAGTAAATTCAAATTGTCATATTATCACTTACAATTGGTCTGAAAATTCGGGGCGATTCATCTGAAAACCACTGCGTACTTTAGGGATGACTTCATTGTTAGTTAAGGTAGGATACGGTTTGTCTCCTACAAAGAGAAAATTATACAGTTGAAGGTACTGATAAATTGTTACATAAGACCTTATTGATGATTATAATAATGGTAATAATTATTTTTTCACCTGAGCATAAATCATTCATACCAATTCAAAGCGAATGCCAAATCTATCTAAAAAAGAACAGGAGACTAGACAATGCTGAAAGCGAGATTCTTTCATATTGCGGTAAGATAATGTTCGATTGTGGTTGGCTTTTGACTGTTAGTTAAACCATGGTTACAGAGTAATATATATAGACATAAACATAAGATGGCATCATCCAGCTCGGTTTATTTCCCATACGAACGGCTAGACGCCTTTTCCAGGTCAGCTCATACCTGCATCATTGACAGGGGGAAACAAGGTTGAAAAATCCGAAGCTATTATCTCGACCTATTTAAGGTGACCTTTTCTTTGAATGACTCTGCTACATAGGCAGAGATTTGGTTCGCGATTTGCCAATCAATAAAAAATTCGCTTCACACTTCGTTTTTCCCACGGGAGTTGGTACCCTAAATTAATAACCAAGTATAATGTAGATACTAAAACAGTCTATACCTAAACTAAATATTTCATACAGAACAATACCAAATGACCAGACATCACTCTTCTCTGTGGCATTTTTGGTGTTAGAAAAACATTCTGGAGAGGCCCATCTGATAGCTACTCTCTCCTATAAATAAACACAATCATATTTTGTTACAACATTTTCTTCATTTTTTGAACCAACTACTGTTATCATCTTAAATTATTCTTGACTTTCCATAAGATAAATATAAACAATATAGAGGCAGTGTACAGCACATTTTTTTTTAAACCTGTCCTATTTTCCATAATTTTTACACCATGACATATTCTAAAATATGCAAGGTAGAGTATATCGACAGACACTACCACCACCTATAATTATTCTGAAGTCGCCATATTGTATTAGTTTTTTTTTTTAAACCGTACGAAAGTCTATCGGGTAACAATCGAGACTACAGTGAAACGTAATCGCTAAAGGACCATTATCACAATAAGTCTTTTACAAAATCTGCACAGCATCTTAAGTATTCATCACCCAAATGAACTCAAATAAATCAGCATACCTTTTCCCCATTTTCACTATCAATGACTGATGGGCCAAATCCTGTGATTTTTGGCTCCAGAATAAAAGTCAGTAGAATATTTCGGGCTGCAAGACGTCTGTGGACCACCTGTAAATATAAATACAAGATTTCATAGTTTCAATTCAAGTAGATTGTTGATCGTTTCTTCGACTGGATTTTATTGAAAACAATTAGAATGAAGAAATTGTTGCCAATTCTAAATCTGTTCTTAATGTCGAACTCAATATATTTTTAGTTAATATTTCATCTCAGCTCAAGAATATTTTATACGGCAGGGTTCCATTTTTTGGGCTTATTACTTAAAACACCATTTGACAAACATTTTATTGGCTTTACACCCACCAAAGAAATTAATTGAAAATGAGTTTTAATTCAATGTCTGCCTTATTGGCCAAACTTACATTCAAAGAAGCCAGGTATGTCATTCCTTTGACAACACCAAAGCTGATTTGATAAAGGCGTTCTATGACATCGTCATTAACGTTGTTTTTGTTTTTATGCAGCCAGGATATCAGTGTTCCATTTTCACAGTATTCTATTACCATAGTAGGTCCCCCTAAAATAGAACGGTCTTATTAGCGCATTTAGAAACAATAACTACTAAATCCAACAATACATATCAGTTTCATAGTAGAGTTTTACACGTCCAAGGTAATTAGGACCTGTACATGACCCTTAACATGTCAGCGTTTACATGAAAAAAAAAACAAAACAACAGCCGAATACGACGTTGCGGTGCTAAAAAGCTTAAATCTACGCAAACGCAGGTCCGTAACCAGACTTGATTGTTCGGAAGGGCAATGGTGTATGTTGTACGGTTTCTCGAATACCCGAATATCAATGTACAAAATTACTTACAAATTTTATTGTCTGTAACAGCACCTATAAACTTCAGAACATTATCATGACCCGTGATGACATCACTCATAAAGGTTATCTTACCACCCATCAAATGTCTTTCGTCATCAGAAAAGTTATCTGAATATATCAAATGAATGAAGGAGTAAATAACACGAACAATGTAAATCCATATTCTTTTCTATAACTGATTTTGCTCAATTTTACTTCTTTAGAGCCCCTTAGTTTAATCATACAAAGTTTGGTTAGCTTGTAATAGAATGAAAACGAAAATGCTTAAACTAGCAGAAGTTTCGATATCTTTAATTACCGATTGCTTTTTCCTAACCTTTAAATTTCTTTCCATAAAGGTGATGAAACTCTCGACAGACTTAAATGTTTCAGCATTGAACATAGTGAAGATATTGCCCTTGTGCCATCCTTGGCATTTCTATGACCCAACTTGGCTCCCTCATCTTATGATGTCGCTGAGCTTGAATTAATTTGAACCGAAATTGTACTACAAACTACTTTTAGAAGCTATTAAATACTCGGTTTTTTACACTCACCCAATAACATTTTAGCAGCCACCTCGCTTTTATCTCCATCATTTCCTAACACAGTTGCTTTATAAATTTTGGCGAATTTTCCCTGTTCAATTAATTCTTGAAGAATCAGGTTAGATCCGCCGATTACGTGACCAGTGGGCAGATTGAGATTACCTCCGGCAAAACCATAAACATAGATATCTTCGTTACCATCAAAACGAGTCTAGAGTAGAAGAAACCAAAAGAGTTATTCTCTCCATGGACTGTATGCACAGATTTAACCCAAACCGATCTCTTGAGAATTAATACAAACTGATCTTATGAGAATTAATACAAACTGATCTTATGAGAATTAATACAAACTGATCTCATAATAATTAATACAAATTGATCTCATGAGAATTAATACAAATTGATCTCATGAGAATTAATACAAACTGGTATTACGAGAATTAATACAAATTGATCTCATGAGAATTAATACAAATTGATCTCATGAGAATTAATACAAACTGATCTTATGAGAATAAATTCAAATTGATCTAATGAGAATTAAAACAAATTGATCTGGTGAGAATTAATAAAAAATGATCTCACGAGAGTTGATACAAACTGATTTGTTTCATTACGAAAAAAGTAGTGTATGAGTTTATAGATAGGAAGCACCTGTAGCGATTTTTTATAAAATCGTGAGCAAATGGGTGATATTATCTAAAACTTAATGAACATCTATTATAGATAAACTCTATCTATAAACTCATACACTACTGAAAAGATTGCGGACAGGTAAAGTCTTGTTCCAATTATGTTATGCTTGTTCAATTGCTCTATGACAACTCAATGAGGGTTGTAATTAATCTTACCCGTTTCGGAGACTCATATTCGTGTAGCCTCTTCTTGTTGTTTCTTCTGTTACCAATAAAACCTTTCATATAGAGTGCACCAACCACCGCCAAGACAAGCAGGATCAACGCAATCAATCCTGTCAAAATAAAGCAACATTTAGATTTACCTTTACGTAGCGTAGCCGTTCCAAAAGTGAATATGCGATTAAAGGGATTGTTGGGGACACCTTTCACTTCTATTTGGAACATTTAAATTCTTTGTCCGATTCCTGTGGTTCCTGGCAGGCAATGTTTAGTTAGAAAGGCTGCCATCTTGTAAGGGGAGATAACATCTATTATTATGTTGTTGTGGTCTGGTGGTAGGTTGGTTACGAATTCTCGGGAATTGAAGGAATCACAAGCATCGGACTAAGGATTGGAAGGCCCCAAAGGTGTCCCGATACACATACAGAGGCTAGAAAACCTTTAAAAGAACCTTTCTCGAAAACCTTGAGATTCAATTTCATTTAACGCCTCTGATACAAACCATGAACAGGTATAATTTCCATAACTTACCCGCGCTTAATCCTTCTGCACCCCCACTAGATAGTACAGACGGGGCATGTCCTGAAAATAAATGGAAATCAAGAGTAACATGATTCACAAGCTTCACATTTAACTTAGCCCTTGATTATCTTGGCATTAGGTCATAAAATATGGGCTCTATATTGATAAAGCATTTCTTAAAGATGTATCTGGTATATACTTCTATTTTCATTCTAATATAATTCATTTTACACGGAGCAGAAATTGAGTTGCTAAAAGGTGAAACTACAAAAATCCATTAAGACTGAATTGAGTCACTGAATACAACACAATTCCAATTTTTTTCTTTGTATTAATAAAAACTTAGATCCACCCCCTTCCCAAATTTAGAATAATTTGATTACCTGTACGGAATGTGATGTAAACGGGATCGCTCATTTCTCCATCATAACCGCTTATAAACTGAATAGTATAATTCGAATCAGGATCCAATGGTGCAATTTCATAATCATGACGTAGACGATGAACTTTCTCTTTTTCTCTTCGATCTGATCTGAGTAGCCAGAATTCTGACACAGGGAGACAGCTCTTTGTAGAATTCCATTCAATGGTAACAAAGTTGGATCCCACGTTCTGTACTGCTATGTTATCTACAGGGGCAACTGAAATATGTTTAAAGGAATAGACTACTATAGAAAATCACCATTAAATATGAATTCTTAAATGTTCAAAAGATGGTAATCAAAATTAAATTATTTTTTTTTTGCTTGAATTAAGTTTGGAACTAAGATTTAAAAAATCGAATTTAATTCCTGGGGGCCGCCATTACTCTAATTGGCCCGTAGCAAAAAGTTACGAAGCGGCTTTATTTTTAACGATTCAAATCTTTGCGTGTAACTTTCATGGCAATTTGACCATTTGACAACTACCATTATCCCCAGATCGAAACAGCTGCCTCTGCTAACTATCTTGAAAGTTGTCGACTGGTGTCGACCGATATCTGTCAAAATATCTATCCGAGGCTAGAAAAGGGCAGATGTTTCGGACAACATTGTCCCATAACATAACAGCTAAGAGCACCCATACTAGACCTTAAGGGGCGTAGCTTAGATCATGCACGAACTCCTTTTTGAAAGTGACATTTTTTAAGCAATTTTCCACATACCATTGTTTCGTCAACAGTGTTCTGTTTTTGGTGATTCCCTCAGCTGCCTTTGGTTACGCATATAAATAATGCGTAACCCCAATAAGTTTACGCAGGTCTAAAACCCCCTACCTTTTTGCGTTACGCAAAATATTGAAATTCCGTAGCCTGTAAAGCTATAAAGTCTTGGAAATTGGAATCAATGGCTTTGCCATAATAAAGCGTGGTTGAGATTACTCTGTGATGCTGTTTTGATCCCTAATAATTAATACAAATTTACTGTAGAATGTTAGTCATATTTTCAAAGAAAACTAAGACTTACAATAACTTTTTTTAAGCAAAGATTCTAACTTCATAACCTGGAAATAAAATGATATGAAATTAAATCATTTTTTAGTTTTTGTGGAAAATTCTTTTTTCGATACTACTAACGAGTTTCGTTTTTGACTTGCTTTCACGTCCATATTAGCTTCTAGAACATTTAGAGTAGAAATATAGAAACATCCAACCATTGCAACATAGGAAACCATTAAAAACATCGGATGACATTGAAGCAAAGAACGATTTGAAATGAGCTTCCTATGTGAAGAGCTTACCTAGGCATCAGTAAGTATGAATGTATATTATATCTTATATAGCCAAAATGTAAATCTCATGAACACAAATCCAACAGAAAATTTGAATATTAAAAATACCTGTATGTCCTTTGAAGTGGAAAGTCCAGCAGGATTGACGGCATCTATAGTAACCTTCGCGGAAGCCGTGTTAATATGAGCTCTGGCCACGGAAAACCAACACATGTTCAGATTCACCACATGTTCAGTATCAAAACAACCAACCCCACTTATACAGTAACAAGATGTCTTCTGTTCACATGACTACAAAATAAAACAAACTAAAACCATCAGTATATGATTTTGCTTTTGTAGTGTCAATCTGACAAACACATGGGCAAAGATACAATCTGACCTACATTTTCGTTTATTGATTAATTCCACTTTGTGTTGAACCTCAGTCGGGTCTATATTCTCACCAACTCTGATTGTGAGAGTATTCAAGACAATTGGGTGCTAGTAAAAGTTATTAGCTTATAATTCAAACTCAAACAATATATGAAAATAAAGTATATTATAAAATATGAATATTCTGAGCAATTTAATTCTGAACATACCTGAAGTCTGATGCCTGCAACACTGCCATTCCTAACATCTTCCCAGATAGCAACAGACGTGTTTCGTCTCGAAATATGCCACCTTATTTCATGAATTCCGCTGTTTTTGTCGGATGCTTCTACAAGTATTCTGAAAATATATCAAATAGCACAATTCATTTAAGGGATATTGTTCTATAAGTTTTCATAAAATTCCTGACAGCACACAGTTAATACTAAAAACCATTTTTGGAGAAAGCAAAATCTGGCCATACCTGTTCCTCGAACGTGATATATACAAATGGGACATAAAATGTCGATTTTCATGGGAGTTGCTACGATCCATTTTTGGATCACTAGTTGTTGAGAATTGTCACCATGACAAAAGCCAAATTTGTTTATAAACGTTTGTTATATACAAGGCAGCACAATTCTACAATGTTCATGTGCTCTACAATGCAGTCAACGGGTAGACTTTTCCCTTCTTCGAAAAACTCCGTAAGTTTAGCGTATCCCTAGACTGCTTTGTGGTACCCTACATCACGTCTGAGGAACGGGTATGGTCAGATTTGTCGGGCTATTAGGAAACCTCGACTGTTTTGCATCTTTAAGAGTATAGACAACAATATATATATTTGAAAAACATCCTTTTCATTTAAATCATTGACATTTAATGTCTGAAGCAACTTAGCAAATGACGCAATAAGAGTGAATCAAGACTTTGGTTTATACCACATGTTAAATTACCTTGATGCAAAACTATCGCCAGTCTGTCGCTTCGGTCTTCTAATCGGAACAGTTGGAACAGGCAGATTGTCTTCCCAAATTAAGTCGGACATTACCGGTGGTGAGGAGTCGAATCGGATGGTTTTGTTATCAGTCTTTGAATTGCTGAGGATATCTTTGGCTGTTATAAATAGTTTGAAACTACTACCATCGCTTCTATCAGGAAGTTCGCTATTTCTTATTGTGTGTTTTTCCTGGAAACAAAGTCCAGAAAATGAATTCAGATCCCTCATAAAAATAGAGTTAGAAAAAGGACTAGAACATAAGACTGGGCACCACAAATGGGTTCCCAAGGGCTATGGTTAGCAGGAGCATGGAATTTTAGTCGATCAATTTTAGACTACTTTGGTCAGGGGATGAAAATCCATACACAAAAGTACTACAATGGCCATCCAAATTTAAAAAAAAATCATACTCTGTGACACAAGTATTCATATTTTCCTCTACATGTATCTGTAAATTTGCACAAAGGTCCCTCCTCTAATGGATGTAAGAGGCAGTTTGGCACATTTCACCAGAAAAATTTAATTATATCTACCAATCAATGTGTTTATTGGTAGCGTATAAATTCTATTCCAGTAACATGCATTAAAGATATTATCAGCCATCTTAAAATGTTTGGACTGCTACACTATATCAATAATGTTGTCCTGTTTTTTATCTGTTAATATTAAGCTAATATGCCGTTGTTTTCATATTATCAAGCAGTAAGCTTACCTGTAAAAATGACTTTCTAATAGTGATGTCGTCAGTTTCCAAAACGAAATCAAAATTCACGATTCCGCCAATATTCCGAACAGCGGATTTACTCCGTGTTCCAGAATCTGCATCAAATGTTACGCGCTTGATTTTAAAATCTCCCATTTTCGGGTCTATATCTGAAAACTGGTTTGGGTAGTCTTTAACCTCGTTCAACAAGTTGTTCTCCACGTGCAAGGGATTTACGAAATGTCCTGACCAAACTATTTCAAGATCAGAATCGAGTGTGCTGAGCCACACTGAGTTGGAATCAGGTTGTACTGCGAAAGGAACTGTAATATTAGACTTCAATTCTATTTCGGACCGATCATCATAGAGGAACAGACGTCGTGCCCAGCGAGAGTTGTTAGCTCTGTCAGATGCCTCAAGGATAACAGAGTACATGCCCGGTTCAGATGGTGTGTAACGTATGGGTAGGACTGAACTAAAATTAGCGTGCATGTATTCACTGATTTGTAACGGATTTAGAGGCTTCTTTTCTCCCAATCTTCCTTCTGAGTCTACCACTTCTAATTTGAATATCTCAACAGCGTATCTGAACATTCCTGACAATTGTTCGTCTCTCCAACCACCCCATCTAATTTCTGCTCCTGTCTGAAGTTGAAACATTTAAATAAATAAATATTTAAACATATACATGCACAAATCATATGAAGCCCTTTTGCGCATATTAATTAACCAATTTGGAGTAAACAATTGAGACTTAAAACTCCATTTAATTTCATTTAGAATTATAGATATTTACTATAAATACTGTTTTTACCTTTGTTAAATCATTGACCTCTAAAGGAGCATCATTATCATTACAACTACCATCAGATTGACAATGCGTTGGTGCATCTTTATCAAATTTAAAAACAATGCTTTTGGAGCTTGTCAAATTATTAAACGTCTCGGATCTATAAAACTTATTTCCACCTAAAATTACCAGTTCCCGTGTTCCTCCGCTCTTAAATAGCATTGTCATCCTCAACCTTTGAATATAAAAGAAAAACTTCTGAACAAAAGATGAAATGATATGATCATTATGTCAAATAAAAGTAGTCAAAGATGCCTTTAGTCTGAAACTAATTGACTTTAATATCAATTTATATATATTTGTTATATTATTAAGCTACTCACTCATCCCCAGATTCTATTTTCATTTTGAAATTTTTTTCCATGACTGTACAGTTCCAAATTCCAGGAATATTGTCATTTGTTCTGGAGCTACACGGATAGGTTTTAACATCAGGTTTCACTGTTTCTCCTGGATAAAAACAATTAAAAGTAGTAATGATACTGTAGTAATAGTATGATTATTCATAAAGGTGTCTTTTATGTAAATTCTAGTATACAATACAATAAATTGATCTTGGATTTTTGGAGGCACTCGTCTTTCTATACGGTTGTTCCAGAGAATCTAAAGGGTCTATATTCAATTCCTTAAAAAGACATGACAGGTTTAAGAAGCAGTAACCTGTATATCATATATATGCAACTAGATGGTTCATACGAATATATACGGTTCAATAGCTAAATAGTATGTTGCTGAAAGTAACCAGTTTGCAATGTACTTGTAATTACTCGTGCTTCAGAATGTACCCCTATGTACAGGCTCCGAGAGATGTTCAGTAAACAGAAGACGTGGAATTAAAATTCAAGAGAACAAATACCCAATTTAAATCCCTAAAATGTTTACCTGGACGTGGTATTTTGGTATGGGTCAAAGTAAGAGTCGATTCTACGACGCCAAAATCTGCACTTCGGACGTAACTCGGTCTTTGTGAATCTATGTTCGGCTCAAATTGTCCTATACAGAAATAAGAAATAATACTAAACATTGGATTTCAAAGAATTTGGTCGCACAAGTTACATAATATATATGGTACGTTCAATAAGAGAAATTCCCAGCTTCAACCAAAGAGGATCAAAACTGTATTCTTTTATTACCGTACAAGCCAAGAAATCATGGCATTAATATACACGTACCTATAAGTTATAAGTTCTTTCTTCTAAGTTCTATAGTTTTTTTATGATTAGATTTTTAAATTTGTGATCAAATAGATCAAATCAGCTTGATACTTACCCAAGCTTTCGACAATAAAATAATTCAAATCTAAATGATTGGACCAAATGGATTCGTCTGCACCTTCATTTGGGTTAGACGATTCCAGAACAAATTCATAGTTCATCATCATAGTCGTTCTCTGGACGCTCTTGAGTGTAGATCGGAATAGCCAGATCTGTGTTCTTTGTTCTGGAAAATCTGCAAGATTGAAACAGTCGCCATTGATTTTTCCAGCTCGACATATCTGATACCATCACTTCAGTGTCATGCATCGTTTAGTTATTTTTCCATTTAGTGGATCAATATATTTCAATGTGAAATGAACAAATAAAACAGAAAGGAAGGATTATTATTGTTAATAACATCGAAACTATAATAACGTATGTTAATGGTCGAATTGAAACTCACTTCGACGAACAAGACACGTGTTTCCAGTAAATCCTGAATCACATTGACATTGATCTCTACCAGTACACATTCCAGGATAACAAGGCTTTAGATGTGAACATGTCACTGAAATACACATGAGAAGTTTAAAATTATTGTCTTGTTTAATGAGTAGCTGATCATCTGTTAACTAAATAAAAAATGTCACCACCGCCGATTTTTCTATTAAAACATGTACAAATACTAACAAAAACAACAATAGTGCTTTACAATCATAAAACACATTTATTATGTTTTGTAATTATATAAAATATATTTCCCATTTTCATTTCATGTTCATTTTAGTGATATTGATGATGGAGAGGCCAGATGTTTAGTAATGGCCGAAATACCAAGTAGCTTAATGAACATCCAAGTACTAACGATCCGAACCGCAAAATCAAACCAGAAATGAAAAATAACAGATAAAACATTGGTAGCAGCTAATGAACTTTTCAGAGGAGGAAGTAAGTGAGAAAATCTATCATAATGGAAAGCTTAGTTTAGATGAGTGGGCTAAGCATAAATGTTATGACATATCAGGCAACAGACACGATGGATATCCTGACATTAACAAACTGAAAACGAGAGGTAGAGGCTACTCACCACCAGTGCAAGTTGGCCCTTTATATCCTGGTTTACATTGACATTGATTGGGAGCAGTGCACGTGCCACCGTTCTTGCATCTTGGTCTACATTTAGCTGAAGTTACATAATAAGATCGAATACATACATCATCTAGTTTCTATTTGCTGGAATACCTGCTCTCAGTATTTGAGAAAATATTCCTGAATAGTATATAAATTACAACTTTGTTGAGTCTATGGCACCGATTGTGGTGATTCACAATCTTCGGTTCAAAGTTTGACAAGTAATCTGACAGCCAATACCCTTCTGAGTCGACCCAACCATTTTCCTAACTTCCTTCTTCCAATACCTTACCATTGAAATGAGCTGAATAGTCACGTCCACCAGCTTTATAATTCTGATGAGCTACTGGGCTGAAACTAGAGGTTTTTCTTTGAGGAAAAAATCCTGTAGCCTTTAAAGCCAGAAATGGTTTAAATGACAATGCATTCGGTAGACATCAGACGGTAACTATCTTAACAGTAGACATTAAATATACGATAAATTTAGCAAATATATATACTTTTTGATTTAAAAAATTTCTTTTATTCATTTTGTTTTAGTTTTTGTCAAATTCGTCATAAGGCATTGTCTCATTTGCATTGATGTAGTTACGGCCATGACAACTTAAATATACTTACGAATGTTACAGTTTTGATTTCTATTCCTATCTGTCCAACCTTTACAACAAAATCTCTCCCTTGTGTACTGAGTTACCCATGTATATCTATAGGCACAGCATCTGAAAAAATGAAACGTACCCTGTATTAGATATAAGGTATTTTCTTTTTCTTTATTTCTATATCATATCTTTAATAACAAGGTTCAAAACGTTTCAACAGAATTTACACGTGAAATGAAGCAATCAACATTTTTTGTTATATGTGCCCTCTGCTTCTTAATGTCTTTCAAATCTTACCTTATTTCTATCTGACTAATTCTAGATCTAAAGACATTATAAAAAAATATGCGTTGACTAATTCAACCAATCACATTTCATAGAATAACTGGTATATATCTCACATGTTGGATATTTTTACATAATAAATCATGCACATTGCCTTAAATATACGAAATACAATCAACTGCATTTTATTAGTATATTTAGTCTCAAAAATATAAAATTATCCAAAAGTCACTTAACTTACCCCAACCATGACCTATAAGAACAAATCTTTTTCCACTTGGAAATACATTTTAACCGTGAACACACATTGCTGAAACAAAATGTTTTACTTTAAAACTTTTGAATTTAAAGGGAAGGGTGCGCCATTTTGGAGCGTTCATTTGAGTGCTGAATATATGTTAATAGTCTACTAAGTCCTTTAAAATAACTTCAGACTAGGAATTCTACTCACTATTTCTACATAATATGTCTTTTCTATATATCACAGAGTATCTTAAAATGACGAGTCGTCCGTTTAACATTCAAACGCGGATAATTCTGGACACACAAAGATTTGAAGTCAAATTTCGACGGTGAGCTGTGAACACTGTTACTCACGATTCTGAGATTAACTTTTGGTCAAAAAAATGGTGCATCTCTCCCTTTAAAGAGTAGTATGAATATATGTATATCCTATCACATTTTGAAATTATCCGGTTCTCCACCAACAATGCAACACGAACCTACGGAGTCATTTTAGACTGTTATTTCCTGGGCGTTATTAAACTTTTCAAGTTAGTTAATAATGAAACAAAATGTTTGAAAACTATAGGGCAAAAGTCTTTATGATGAAATATTTCCCCATGCATTCTGTGTGGTATTGCTCTCCCTATAGTTATTATACACCAGTTCAAGGCGAGGTGTGATTCTACAAAGGGAGGTGAGATTTACATGATAAGAAACATTAAAGATAATTACCCACTCCAAGCTGATACACAAACTATAATTACAGTTAAAACAACCAAAGATTTGGTAAACTGTATCATCATTGGTTTCTACAATAAGAATTGGACAATTTAAATGTTCTGTACGGCATTGTTTTTACTTTTCGTGCAGCTACAAAATCCAACATCAAACATGTTCCAACCCGTTTCTATTTGACCGAAGTTTTTGGAAATCATAAGGACGATTGAATAGCTCATTCGAGGCTAGATAAACGTATAGGCCTATAAGCTGTAGCATAATGTCAATAATAAATATATAATTGGTTCAATGCCATGCTTTAAACAATAGTTCTTTCTACATGAAATGATATCATTATCATTACAGCACATAACATAGATTAAGAAACAATCGGTCTAATAGGAAGAGATTGTTTGATGCAATAATAATATAATAACACAAAAGAAAAAGAATTGAAGGTTAATCATAGTGCATTACCAAACCAATAGATATTTATGATAAATCATAGTATCATCAAAAAATAGCGATGCAATCGTAATACGCCCACATTTGTAATGGCAGCTAATTTGTCCGGGAGGTTGACAAGAGTTATCAGTAATTGAAAGTTTCGCTGGGAAATGTCAGGATATCGCGTTTCCGGGCGTCTAATTCTCAACATTTTCCAGGCAAGATTCCACAGACCCAATTGAATTAATCTTGAACCTTAAATTCGTTGGGCAATGTCAGGAATTTGCATTTCCAGGCGTCTAATTCTCAAAACTTTCTTGTGGTGGTCCCATAGTCCCTGCAGGAAATGTCGGGAAATCGCGATTCAGAGAGTCAAGAGACTTCAGAAAATCGTACCTCCAGGCTTCCAATAGCAATATTTCTATAGAGAGCACCACTGTAATGCTTAACAATTCACAAATTTTCCGGGAGAGGAGGAGGTAATCTAAACTGGCCCCCTTGATTGGACGTTTCTGCTAGTTTTAATATCAACTTTACTTTGTACATAACAAGTATAATCTTTACAAAAATCAAGAGGTTATTTCCTTCCAATATATTTAATGTTCTACAAGATTTGACTGTCTTAATTATTTTATAAAGCAATCTGAATAGAAATGACATTATGCAATTGCAGGAAAATTTATTTTACTACCGAAAGTATTCGCTAGATTGGATATAACTTTAAATACAATCCCATTTGTGTCCAAGTTAAAAATCAATGGTTTCAATATAGATTGATCCACAGAATATTACCTTTAAAGTCGTATCTAAAATTAATACGTGTAAGTGACTGTGATTTGTGTACTTTCTGTAAAAAGTGTAGAAGGTTATATCCATCTATTCAGTTCCTGTCCATTTGTGACCCCCCTATGGATTGACCTTGAAACCCTAATGTTTAATGCTGATATATTTATAGAACTCAGTGATGTTAATATCATTTTTGGTACAATCATAAATTATAATACTGTTATCAATATGATACATTTGTAAATATTATATCTATAAATGTGAAAACTGAAATTAATGCTAAATGAAATTACAAAATATACATCAATTTTATAAGATACAAAACTAAAAATCAATTGGAATTTATAAATGCCTGGAAAACTATACAACAGTAATGAAATATTCAAAAAGTCTTGTTGATAAAATAATATGTAATGAAATGAATTGTGTCAAAAAACATTATTACTATTTTATACTAACAAATGAACTATAATTATATATGTACCTATATTATTAAATAAATTGTGAAAAGAAAGAAAAAATACTAATACTAATAATAATAGGGCATAACATACATAAGATCACTCTCCCATATTCTGACTCTACTTACCTAATACAGAACCATACCAATCCCATACAAATATTCTGGAATAAATGATAAAGAGACGGGTTTAAACCGAATTAAATACCAAACCTTCAACAAGGAAGAAAATTAATCCGCATATAATTTGTTTATTCACGAGCAGAACTATCATTTCCGATTGTCGTAATCGGCTTCCGGACAATTCTCATTATATATATATATATATATATATATATATATATATAACGTTACCATTAAAGGTAATAGGCGTAGGCCTACAATGAATTCTATCTAAAAAGCACCTAAATGAGACGTAGGTTTTAAAGCAAAATGGGTAGAAATAAGCGAAACATCAATTTGTGCACTACTAACTACTACATATTTCTCTCCAATCAGGCGTTTATTTTGCTCAAATCTGTACAGTAGTTACCAAACAGCATAACGAACTTAAAAACCTTACGTAATGTTTTTAAATATTTTTGGCGTTTAAAAATTAAACACAAATTGCACTACTAACTAACGGACAATAACTTACATGTTTTCAGAATATATTGCATCACATAAAAACACAAAATTTAACAGTAATCATTCATAATTATCAATGAAAATATTCCGAAAATGTTTTCGCTAAATCATTTATATTTTTTGCCCAACTTTGACAAAGCAACATGTTATCACAAGATTTCTGCGTTTGCCAATGGTCTGAAGATTTGGTAACTAAAATAGATGCAAATATTGGCAATTGTAGGTAAATTGGGACATCTGAATATTCCATCAATCAAATACGGAGGAGAAGTATTGGAGCCAAACCTGTTATGACGAATAATGACCCACTGAAAAACGTTACTCAATGACTAAGACTCCTCTACTTTAAAAGGACATTCCGCTTTTATTGTAGGTCGAACAATTTTTTTACTCAAATTTGCGAAAACTATACAACATAATCTAGATTAATGTGCCCTTGAACGTATCTGAAAGTTTTAACTATCCTGCCCTTAATTTTAAAAACATTACGTAACGTTTTTAAGTGCCTTATGCTTTTTGTCAGCTGTTTGAAACTACTTTACGGATTTGAGTAAAATAAAAGCTTAATTGTAGAGAAATATGTCTTTTATGTAATCTAAAGGTTTCAACTAATAACATCGAGCTATTATAAAGCCAAAGCAAAAACGAGGTCAAACTGCTTAATTAACAATTAGTACATTCCGTTGTTAATTAACCCTATTAAAACAAATTCAGTTTGATCAAGTAGATACATAGATATAAATAGCATACTTTAGAAATATTTCCAGGTATAATTTACGACGTTTTTGATAATAACAGCTTTTTACCAAAAAGCGGAACACCCCTTAAAGCATGACTGATACGAGAAAGATTTTCTTGCATGTACAACATATATATCACGATTCTCGTAATGCAGATGATCAACATCCGTATTTTAGCTCTTGTTCTCAAACTAGATATCCTGTTGATGCATTTCAAAACCATGTAGTATTAGTAAGTAGACATGTAGAACTAAAAACTTAAGCCAATCTTCATAAAGAATTGTGTATTTTAGTTTAGTGGGTTAACAATGTAAAAAGTCATCTCGTTCTGCAGAACAAAATCAATTTTAAATTTATTGTGTCTTCCTATCGATAAATAGTTGCGACTGTTATCCTGTTAGCTTCGTAAGAGACCCTGAACTATTTCATAGCGGTACTCACGGTTTTCCAGTATGTGTTTATTTCTACGAAACATATCGTACATAGAAGTGAGTTGATTAGCAAAATCCTTTGACACCACGGACGTACTTTTAATACGAGACTTACCTACTATATACTGAAACACTGTAAAATTTGAACCAGGTGAAGAACCGACGTAGTGTTGATTTGCACGCTTAAAAGATCAAGGGAAATATAATTAAATGATTTTCTTTTTTTTTTTGGCACGGTTCCTACGTGAGCAATAATGAATATTTTCACCAGATAGCGGCAGAATATTATTTGCTTGCGGGCCCATAAGAATTGGTTTGGGGTAATAAAAAGTCATATTCCCGGGTAATAAAGTCGGAAGTCAGTGTTTATTCTTGAAATTGATATGCGTAGATAAAATACGGTTTTATCAGTTATACTTTTGTCATTAAGGAAGCGCGGGTCTACGGACTTCCTTCCTTGTTAGGTAAGTCGTATTATCTGGGATCAGGTTAAGGTCAAACATCTTGTATTATAACTCTAATTTACAAAACATTACAAACAGGTCCAGCGCAAAAAAAAACTCGCCGAGAACAAAAATTATATGAAAGAATGAGGCCTAAAGTTAATGTAATTCTGCGAAGCATAAATTTTTTCTGGCATATCACCTGATATATTACCTAAACCGCCTATAGAAGCCAGGAGAATGGATTGCTAGTGCCTTTCAGGAACACTCGGGCGTCCATTGAAATAGGTGGGCGTGGGCAAGGGTGGGTGGTAGCGTAAGGGAGACGGTGGGCGGTGGGCCTTACGTGGCTCAACCTAAATCTGGTACTAAATCTGTCTATTGATTCATGCGTTACGATTTTTTTCTCTATTAATATAGAACATGAAAATATGACATAACTACATTTTCGTGAACAACAGTTTCTTCCCTTCCGCAGCTCCGAGAAAATGATATTAAACTTTTTTTAATAACCTCTCCATTTGTTTGTTGGCTTGTTAATTTGGTATTTTTTGGATAAATACACGTCTTTAAAAGTAAATATTTGGTTCAGAATTCTAAGCCGAAGGTAGATCTTATAATTCAGAAGCGCGTTGGCCATTTTAGAATTTGACATGTGGATCATAGGCTGTTACTATAACATAAATTTGATGATTCCATTAAAATTCATGGTCTCAGAGAACATATATTTAGACAATTCATTTGTAATTGTATCACATATTAGCGAAAAAAGCACATTATTAGTGTTCAGCAGCCATTTTGGACGCCATCTTAGATAGACAAATTGATACCCTAATTTTTAAAAAGATTATGAGCCCTTCTCTCAATATCAAGTGAGTTTTTGATTTAAAAAAAAAAAAAAATTACAAATATGCCTACACTACATGAGAAAACAAATGTCCAGATTAATTAGATTGAAGATCAAATTGGATTTAAGGGATTGTAAAAAGGTTGTCTAATTTTCTATGTGTATCAGGACACTGATAGCATCAATTTACACCATTTGCGACGGTCCTTATGAGGTACAAGCATAATTGGAGATTAGTGACGTCATCAAACACCTGTTGTGGAATTGTATGTACCACAGACTTCTGACTGAAAATTTGAATGGTGCTAAGTGGTGCTATCCGTGTCTCTGATACGCATAACATTTTTTAGAAAACCTCTTTAGTATGCAGTTACAGTGCAGATGGAGATTTCTGATATTCCCAGTTGTGTCTTGAGTTCTTCAGATTTAACATCAGAGATAAATTATTACATAAAGTAAAATAGACATTACATGTATATAGTAGCCTTACAGCCTTGAGAATAATATTTTTATTAAATTTTATATAAGACAGAGTTACTTCCCTTAAGACAAAGACTAATCTTGTCAAACAATTTCCTTTTGGTTACCTAAAGGTATACTTCCTCCTAAGATGAACAAAAAAATTGAAAACTTAGTAAAATGAGTTTTTGTTCATCAGTGGACTTGTCTGTTGTCATAACTGTATAACAGAATTCCTTTATAATCAAATAAATCCATTAAACTAAGTAATTTTGAAACATGCTTAGAAAAGGTCCAATAAATAGAGTTACATCAGATTTGTGTCCTTTAAACTGAATATCATCCTAATAAGATATGCTCTCTTGTTAACGATGAGGAGGGGATTTCATTTCATTATTATTATCCTTGGATTCTAATAACAGTATTCTAGTTGTAAACAATTTAATCCTGTGACAGCACCTTTTGGTTAGTACTCCAATCTCAACTTTTTTTTCGACATTTTTAATTATCTAATAAATTCATTACTTCATGCTCTAGAAAATTTTAGTATTTCATGTGTAGGCATTGTGGTGACTAATGAGTACTGTTTTTCTGTTAATTGTACATGGCATGACATGGGTCTAGGGCGATAAAGTAATTATAAATAACAATATGGGCTCACTCCACTAATTCATTTGCCATCTCTTCCCATGTTAAAACACGAAATTCAACCTTCTACAACCTCTTTCCAGAAATCTCGTTGAAAGCTTCCAATATGTCGAATGAAAGCCTGACCAATCCTTAAAGTCTCCTAAAAAATTCAATATATTGTTGTAGAGAGCTGATATATTTGTCTATACAGGCCAATAACAAAAACAACTCTGATTACACGTTTCCAAGTCAGAGTCACGTGACTTCCGTTAAGCTATAGCCCGAAATGGTACGCTTTCATTCTACATTTCTAGTCCGAAATAGTACGCTTTCATACTACATTCCTCTCCATTATAAAAACAAGACCTATATAATATAAATTTATTTATCTATAACAGCACTCCTTCACTTGGGTGAATGAATGCTCTATTATCTTCGTCCAGAAGACTAATACACGACTTAAGATTCCTCCATCACGGGGAGCCGCGGTGGTTCAGTGAGTTAGACACTTGCTCGCTAACCTGAAGGTCCAGGGTTCAATCCCGGCATAGGTCGAGATAATACCTTCGGATTTTTCAACCCGGTTTCCCCATGTCAGTGATGCAGGTAAGAGGGGCTGACATGGAAAAAGCGTCTAGTCGTTCGGATGGGACAATAAAGCGAGGCCCCGTGTGCTACATACAGGCTGTGCACGTTAAAGATCCCTCGACAGTTGGAAATCGAAAAAGAGCAGACTAATGCCACTATCCTGGCAAAATTTCCCTCATTGCACCCTGCATGGCGTTGCCCGTCTTCATTAAGAAAAGTAGGACGTAAAACTCCATTCATTTCATTTCCAATGCATCACGCAACCTAAATGCGATGGAGGATAGACTGTAAGTCTCAATACTCTCATTGTCATTCACTAGCTTGATTCTTTCCGCCTCTATGTTGGTGAATTCCAACGGAGTCTTAGGTGTGTATCTGGCCCGATTTTGTAAAAGACCCAGTAAGTCTTCTTTTTTGGACAATCCCAAAAGATGACTCAAACAAAATACACTGGCCAATGCTACCCATCTCATCATGGACGAGAACCTCGCTTTACCGGGCTGATCAGGGTGTTCGGAGAGGATATGTGACTCCAGTTTGTTTTCAGACAACATCTGCAGCTTACACGACCAGCACGCGGTTTCCAGATAAATATACCTATAAATATATAACTGGATAAAATGTCGCTGTAAATGCGAGTAGCTCCCAGAGCATAAAATAAAATGGCATTTGACATCCTTCCGTTGCTTCCCGATCTTGTTTATTACAGTGGACTCAGCTTCAGGCTCGACGAAATCCTCATAATCTGGGACAAAGCAAGCTTCGTTATCCATCATCTGAAAGGAATTAAAAAACATTCTAAAAACGACACAGTGATAATAAAAATCTTCATAAAACTAATAATAGATCAGACATTTCAGTTTTTTTTTCACTACCCCCTTCCATCCCAATTAACCACATAGCCTAACAAATGACGAGGTCTACGCCTTACTCTACCAGATCGAGTCGATTTCAGAAAGCTGTCATGTTCCTGCAACTTTTCAGAATCTGAAGAACTGTCCCAATCAGAGTCTGGAGATTGGTCTCTATCAATTGATATGCCATCTTCACTGCTCATTGCATCGTGCGTATTTTCGGCTGCTACAGATCGATCTTTATTACTTGATTGCTGAAACTGATCGAAATCTGTCAATTCTCGGCGCATCTGCCTTAACCATATTGGCAAAACTCGATCGATGCATTCTTTTAAACGATCATGATAGACTATCAAGGTAGATTTCCTATTCCTTATCTGAAAAAAAACTGGTGAAACTATGGCAGACACAAGGTATGGTCCTTTCCATGGAGATCGAAGTTTTCTACTTTGGCCAATCTTTGTGGCAGAGTCTATTAGGTAGACCATGTCCCCAACCGAGTATGAGTTCTGTACGAGTTTGACGTCGTAATCACGCTTTTGACTTAACTGTGCACTTTGAAGGTGACTTCTTGACAACTCATGGACATTTTTAAGCCTTTTGACTATTGGAAGCACTAGCGTGTTTTTGATAATCTTGGGACATTCCAAAGGGTATAGAGCCTACTTTACTATCTCTTTGTACTGATGAAGTTAAGAAAGGCATTGATTTTTGTTATAAATACCCCTTTGTGCAAGCCTATCAACAGTTGCCCCTGTCATAACCTTCTCAGGGTTTCCTCCGTGTACGATATCCACCTTTTCCATGAGACTTGACATATCTTGTCTTAAACTATGATATTGTTCCAAACCAGGGGGTTTGGAGGCTAATTCTTCCCTAAGAGATCTATTTACCATATCCGCTTTTGCCATATCAGACGTGTGGTTATGTTTCAATTCCAACAATCTGTTATCGAACTTAGATTGCTGCATTCCTAATACAGTATCACATTTCTTCCTTTCAGAATACAGAGCATCTTCCAATTGATCAATTTTATTGTCTTTATATCGTAAATTTGATTCCAATTCCGAAACTACAGTTTTGAAATCCGACAACTCTTGACTCAATTTCACTTGCAGCTGATACTTTAGATCCCTTAATATGGTTTCAAAATCTGATTGCAAAGCAGACATTTGCGATTGCATCTCCGCCTGAACCCTGGCATAATCCACTTCGCGTAAACTCTTATTGGCTTCTGAAGTATCACCAAACAAAATTACACCCTCCCCCAAAAGAGGAAATTCCCAAATTGAAGACGGGATCTCGGAAATTGACTTTAAGTCATCCATGGTTAACGTACCGCCCATCTGATTACGGACATCTACAATCAGCCTCGCTCGTTTTGAACCAATGTTTTGCAAGTTTTAGAGTTCGGACAGAGACGCCTTTTTTAAATTAAGAGACATGATTGATATATAGTATTATCAACTTCTGACACCATTGTTGTAGAGAGCTGATATATTAGTCTATACAGGCCAATATAAAAAAAACAACTCTGATTGTTTACACGTGTCCAAGTCAGAGTCACATGACGTCCGTTAAGCTATAGCCTGAAATTGTACGCTTTCATTCTACATATATAGTCCGAAATAGTACGCTTTCATACTACAATATGATGACTATGAAAATTTGGAGTTACTAAATTGAAAGTAGACTACTACCAGTTATACTCATCCGCTAGAGTTTGGCAGTTCACAAAACGACTACTTTTAGATTTCGGGGAAGGGAGGGTTTGATTCTCCCAAATGTACAGGCCTAGGGTGGAGCAGACACTTTATTTAGAAATCAGGATTAAGGGTCTTGATATTGGGTTTTCTTCTGTTCTTATTCTGATCTGAAATTAGAAAAAATAACTCGCCCAATGGGCGAGAAGTATAGTATCTGTTATGTACTGATTGTTTTTAGTTTACTATGAACAATATTATCATTTAAGTTCTTATTTTTTGAATATGCAACTATCATTTTCTGCTTATAGACATGGGGGAATTTCTCTTGAAGGCTCTTATAGTGGGCATGAACTATCTTGCTTGCTCGATTGCTGGTTGTATTAAACGGGACAACAAAGGGTGCTATGCCTACATTATGATGAATATTTAGTCCTATAGGTCTTGCTGTATTCAATGTCTCAATCCAATGGGCCTCCCTAGATTGACGGAATTTGGTAGTTTCATCTTCGGGCAAGTCAATTTCTATACGCTCAATTGGG